ATGGGTTAATACCAGAGGAACTACAATATGTTTTTATATTTATGTCATAATTTGATTTTGTGGAGTATTTTAAATATTTTCTACTCTTGTTGTGTTTGTTGTGGAATATTAAAATAATTTTTAATTTTTTTGTGCATTGAATCACAGGTAATCAGTAAGAAGTGTTGGGCTCTAGTTCCGCCAAGGACACATTGACAATTTTTTTCCCAGAATTTTGTGACACATACTTGGTAATATAATGAGAGACCTTTCAAATTTGCTATTCTAGCTTGGTAATTACAGGATGCAGTAGCTCAATGAATATTACTGTACATTACTTCAATGGAGATTGGAATTATTTAACCTAGTGTCTAAATATCTAAAAAAGTATTATTCTTAGGCCCAATAAAAAAAAGAAATTAGTGTATCATCCCTGCCCGGATGTCTTTTTCAGTATTGCAAATAAAATGTTAAAAAACCTTTTTTGTTTTTTTGGAAATTTTTTTTCCCCCATATTTTAAAATTAAATATTTAGTAAGCCTGTAACTATATTGCTTGTATTACCTCAATCATATATTTTACTTTGACTACTAATGCACCTGAAAACAACTCAATAGGTGATATTTGGCTTTAGCAAAGTGAAAGATAATGCCTCCATTCCTCTTCTCAAATTAAAAGTATAAATATATATATACATTTAATATATAGACAAAAAAAAAATGCGAGTACAGTAAAGTCAATGTACTTGAGGTAAAAATGATTGAGGGCACCCTTATGCCTTTGCTCGAGATCCCTCACATGATCAATTGTATGTAATTGGGCAAGTGAAAATGCTGAGGAAAAAATAATATGATGGGCGGGGGTGGGATAAAATAAGAAAACAATTCCAGTTTTTTCTGAAATTTTCCTATTTTTCATGGTGGTAGTGTAGCAGGCCAGATTAAATACTGTATTAGAGGTAAGGTCCTGGCAAGGAAGTATTCCATTATACTTTATACTGTAGAATTGTCATCTTGGTGGCCTAAATGGCAGGTCGTTGACCTTCATAGAAAATGCTTCCACTTCCACTCTGTTTTCATAAGCGCCCAGTTTGAAAAAGCGCTCTGTTTGAAGAAGCGTCCCCTCAAAAAGAGCCAAAAATATTTTAAGCGCCCGGGCGCTTATTCGCGCGTGTATGGTAACCTAACAATATTATCTGAATTAATAGTAGGGGTAGTGGGTAGTAGGAATTACAGTGGGATTTTATCCTTAAGTTTCAATACAATAGTGAATATTTTTTTTTAACTGTTGGTTAACCCTCTACTGTAGTTCTCTAATAAGCTTGTATCAAGTTTTTAGGCCTACCGTATTTTGTCGATGAATTATGCAAATGGCATTGACAGTTAACATTGTGGTTAACTTAATAATATTATTGATTTGTACTTTATTTGAATTCTCTGAATAGGTGTAGGTGGATGAGTGATACCATTACAATAAATCGGATTTTCTCTTGACCTACCTTAATAATATAATGGGATATATTGTACAGTATGACATACTCACTTTACTCTGAAGTACCTTTTTTCTTTGTTAAAAATAAGCTCTGTATCTCCATCATTGGCATCTTTATGAAAAATACAATAGGTTTTACTATTAATTAGAATTAAAAGACTAAAGTATTGGATTTACTATAATAGTTTGATTAAAAAATTTAAAAAAAATTGATTTGCTCATGAATTTAAATTGATCATCATTATCAATTTTAAATAATAATGATATTTTTTCTGATTTACACCTATATTCATTTTACTATGAAAATCCTTCATTTGATTACTAGCCGATTTAAGGGTATGCAAAGAATGAGTGATTTGGCCTACTGTTAAACCTAAAAATAAAATATAGGCCTATGTTTGATATAATGAAAATGTTAGAGAACAATGGTTGTTCATTGTCAAAAATATATGAGAGATTAAAATGTTTTGGTTTAATATAGTGTAGATTAATGATTTAAGTTTACGTTTTGTTGCAAAACTTCAGCTTTTTTTTATTATTGTTTTCCAATGTACAATATTGTCCACAAAAACTTACGATTATGTGATGATAGCGTGACAGATATTAATAAAACAATTAGTTTCTGTAATATAATTTAGTTATTAAATTTCATCTATTTTTACAGAAAATGTACAATAAACTTAAGAATGTACAGGTAATGTTATTGTTAATATATTGGCTACAGTAAGTGTAAAAATTTATTCATTGCAGTTCCAAAGGCAAACTACAGTACTTAAGGAAAAATTGGAAAATAATTCTATGCATAAGAAAATTTTCTGCATGCCATATTGAACATGATGTCATATTTATTTTTAGACCTTTGGAGGATGCTAATAAATCGTCTTGGTCAGCATCCAATTTAAAATGTCAGTAGTGCCAGGAAAAATATGTGTAGACACGTTTTCAAGCATTAGTCGTAATATGTCACTAATCACGTCATCTGAAAAATCCTTCCCGTGACAAATATAGGTGACGGTACCCTGCTGAGCCTAATGACGACACGCTCTATAATTTTGAAGTCTTGATATTTTTGCATTCCATAAACTTTCTGAATTGAAATAAATGTGGGGTGGGTCTAAATTAAAATGACTTTAGATAATTTTTTTTTCATTATTATTTGTTCCTGAAGACCAATAAAATATTGTTACATCAGTCTTGTACAGTAAAATAACAATTTTAGTCACTAACATTAGGTTTAGGTATAGGATAAAAATTATAAAAAATGTTGATTACAATTGTTATTGTTTCCCCTTATAATGTGATGTGCAATAAATTGTTTTATTGTATTATTGTAAAGCCCATGTATATTGAAATAAATGACTTAGACACTTAATAATTATATTAAAAATACTGTACTATGTTGTTTAAAAATTTGTATAAAGTAAACAATAGAAGACTGTTTTTATATATTTGAATCTTTTTGCAGTACAACTGATTTTTCTAAGACAAAAAAGCATATTAGTATTTGACAAAAAAGAACTTTAGTGGTAAATAATCAGATACAGATTTTTGAATATTGAAAAACTAGGGAAAGGGTGGAAAAATGGTGGTTACTACCCTTCTCCCCTAGTGTTTTTTTTAATACTCAAAAATAATTTTTTTTTTTGGTATATTTACTGTAGGTATGTCAGGCCTGATGTTACCATCAATATTGATTAACGGCGGCCACAACATTTATTTTTTATTTAATTTATAATCCATGAAATACTTGCACCTACTGTAGGGCTGAAAAAAATAGCGAAAGCCACTTCACAGCCTGTCAACAGAGCAAGCTAGGGTAACTATGGCCAGCCTGGAATGGTCAGCGTGTGGTTCGAAACCCTCGACAACGAGGTTTACAGCCTGAATAGATATCGCTGCACCAAACCGCCTTCCCGAATGTATAATAAAAAATTTAATAAAAAAAAAATCTGTTGATACTGTACTGTAGTACATATCAAACTTTTTTTTAAAGCCTACTGTGTTGTAAAGTTTTATGGAGTACCACAGTCGTGTCATTACCACGCCAGGTGGCGCTCTCTGTTGTCAACGGACGTTAGTTACCGTTCATTACGCCTGAAAGACTTCATGGCTTTCTGGAATAGGCATTTTAAAATCTAATATTTTACCATCAAAATGTACTAAAAACACAAAAGCTCGCATTATATTAGTTTTGAACACACATTTAATCATCAATTAAAATTTAAAAAGAAAAAGTAAGATACAGTACAACATCTTAATAATTACCTTAGAAATTGGGATCGATGGTTTGTCAGTGAAGAAAATAGCATCTGGTTGAACGTTTTTTGCAATGATAGCAACGGAGTAGTATCACATGGTATTGTGATGTAACACTGTAGTACGCTATGGACAACTTTACTTTGTTATGTTGACATTTTTCCAGTGTGGTTAAAAAAATGTTCAAAGTCTGAATAGATTATTATAGTATCAGATTAAATGAAAATTATGAGTGCATTTTTATAGGAGTTTTAAATTTTATCTCCGGTACTGATTATTATACGTTTGTTCTATGGTATTAGCTTCTTTTTATTCACATTAATTGCTTTGCTTTATGGATAGAAATTACATATTAATGCCATTACTGATAACCATCGTGTTAACCAACTTCCTTTAACCAGGGGGAGTGAAGCAGTAAACTTTACATTATAATTCCAATATAAATTCCGTGAAATTCATTAAATATTCCTGATGACTCCATGGTTTATTTCCTTTATGACATCAGGGATCTTGTGCTCTATCCTGGTTGTCAATGCCAAATAATTAATGCCAACCTGGGACATGCCTGGAATTGGCAAAATATCAAAAAAACAGGGTGGTTCTGAATTGCCAAGTACTTTAATACTTACCTTTTCCTTTACTTCTAAATGTAGTACAGGTACTTATATAGTTAGATAGTACTGTACTTCAGAAATACAGTATTTAACAACAGAATACACTGATTATGTTTAAATACACTAAATAATGTTACTCCAGATGAAGATGCTCCTGTAAAGGTTGAAATGTCGAACCATGCCCTCCTTATTATTCAGAGTAATACAGCATTCATTTTTTGTTATCTCAGAGATTAGCTGGAAAAAATATTAAATATTTTATATTCCTTCTGCCTTCTAATTCATATGCCTATATCAACATTGATGTCATCTGGTTAAAAATGGTTTTCTTGTCTACTGTATACCTGTAGTTAAACATTACCAGAATGAAATGCTTTTTTTTTTACCAATTACAAGTTAGTAAGTTATTTTTATATACTGTAAAGGCCAAAAAAAAAAAAGAGTTTTTCTTGTAGCAGGTTTTTTTTTACAAAGTTGGAGACCACTCGCGCACACACAGAGAGTTGTTCACTACAAACATATGCTCGGTTATGAGGATTTTTGGAATTCAGCATTTTTTGTTTGCTTTAGTGTGAATGTAAAGGAAGTAACTGAGCCTTAAAAGGGGACAAGAATTTTTTTAAATTTGGGATCATGTAAAGTTACATAACTTGAAATATTCATTCATTTATTCATTCATTCATTCTTTAATTTGTAAAGTACATACTGTATAAAACTTTGGAGTATAAAATATAAAACACACAGATCAAATATTAAAAAAAACAAATGAAAACACCAGACCAACTCGAAGATAATTACTGTAAAGCTCATGGATTGTGCAGTAGTCAGCTGACTTAAAACCATTCAACCATTAAGAATAATTCCAGTTTAATTACGGAATACAGTAAAATAGAAATTGATAATATAACACACTCTGTGTGTTGAGATTTGAAGTCTTTGCTAAAAAAAAAAGGCAAAGGTAGATTCTCTCATAAAACATAATAAACCATTACTCACAAATTTGAGAACAAATAAGAGTGGTAGTAGAGGCTGTACTGTATGCTGTGTTTATTTTGATATCAATTCAAATAAAAAGGTATAAAAATAGTAACAATCAACAATAACTAAAATAATATTAGCCACTTTGATCCCTCTATTGAACTGCTGTCAACACCGCTGGAATCACAAACAAAAGGTGAAGCTCTTTTATCAAATTTTATGTGTCATCATAATCATATGACATCACCATGCCCTTATATGGGCATATATCACACATTGTCACAAAAAACTTAATGAAACTAAAACTTGACTAAATATAGTTTGAAGGTTTGCATAGTGAAGTAAACAATATTAATCGTCTAAAGGGGAATTTTCATTTTTTTAAAAGACGATTTGAAACATTAAGACATTTCCAGCAATGCCATACAGTACAAAAAAAGTAGAATGGAAAGAGAGGTCGAATTTTCAGATTTTCTATGCATACAGTGAAACAAAAAATGCAGTGGTACCTCTGGCACTCTGTACATACAGTATATATTGAAAACATGCATTCATTACACGCAGCGCGCAATCAATACGAACGACAAAGATGTGGAAATGTAGTACTTTCCAAGATAGGATTGCATTTCCGAGAAAACCACACATTTCTCTTGACATTAATTCGTTTTCAGAACCATTCAACAATGTAGATGTGATGTGTGAGTTACATAAACCAATTATTTATAAAGTGAGATAATCATTTATATGTAAATGAGGAAAGACACGTTCATTATAAACTATACTCTACTTTAAAATATTTATTTACTTGCTCATGTATTACAAATTTAAGACAAATTTTTGAGTACAGTAAAATGCAAATTTTAATAATACAGTATACTACTAAAAATAACTTCATAAAGTATTACATTAGAATTATGGCATTATGTAGGCCTATACATTAAATTACAATTGATACAAAAAATCCTGTCTTTCTCAGAGGATCTACTGTATCTATAGTATTCTATATTTTATTTGTTCTTAAATTAATTAATAATTGAATAATTGAATGATTCATTCCTTTTCAATTACAAGTACTCCGGTAGTGGAAATTATTCATATTGTAGTGTAGACCTTTGTATTTTCGGCTTTCTGAATATGCGATCATTAGTCATTTTAACATACAGTTCTAATCAAAATTTATCTTCTAAATTATTCCCATTTAGGCTGTTATTCATACCTTGGCGTCTTAAGGGATTTCATAGTATGTACATCAGTCGCTAGATATTTATTGAATGCTCTATTTTTTTTTTTTCCAGTACTTCAACTGGGTTTCAATTGCTAGAAAGTTGTAAATTTAGTCACACTCAACACTATATGCCTCAAAGATAAATTGCTCAATTTACAGGCTAGAATAATGTATATTATAAGCTTTCTTTATTGTGAGTTGTAATCACAAATTACAACAATGTTTACCTCAATGTTTTTACATTCCTTGTACATTATGGAATTTTCAATAAGTGTGCTAAAAATATCCACATAACGGTGTCTTTATCAGAAAAGCATGTCTTCAAGATGTTGACGCGACCCTGACCCTCAGGGAATGATCGTGAACTTTTCCTCCTCAGGCTGTAAACATTTACGTTGGATATTGTAGAATTGTGGTGCATTTTCTGACTAGCATCCTGATGGGCGGTCGGTTTCATGTTGCGGAGTCAAGTGAAGTAATGCTATAAATGATTCCTAATTCTAAATTAGATCAGTCTTTGTGAAGTAAACAAGCATAACGGACGGTAACGATAAGCATCTTCACCCGATTTTGGTGCTGCTAATTCTTTGAGATTTTAATCGATTGCCAAGACAACAAAAATATTTGTGTACCCATCATTGTGTCTACTGTATATGCATTGACCTGTAGTGGAAGAGAATACACATTAAGATGCCCTATTTGAGACTAGATTTTGGGGAAACATTCCCACAGTCTGGTGGTCCATCAGTTTATCTGACACAGTCTGTCAAAGATTGGAGAATATTTACAAGAAAGCAGGTTGGTATTATCAAGTATTTACTTCCTCTAGCACTTTGATTCCTAACTTTTTCCAGATTTTTTATACCAGGTAAGATAGAAAAGAGAATAATACACCTCAGTTCAGTTCAGTTAAGTTGTTACTCAAACCATGGAGGTCCGATGCCAGTCGCATCCCAGAGGCAGTCTTTTACAGTAGCATCCAAATGCTGGGTCCGACTATTGAAGGAACTTTTTGACTGGTAATAGCTTCTTAGCTTGTCCTGGATCATACTAAAGAAGATTTCCAGTACATATTTTAATCTATGGGTCATAATAATAGGGTTTTTGGGCTCGTGCAAAGAGCATTAATGTTGTTAATGATTTACCGTATTTGGTTCGTGGTAGATATGGGCAACTGTAGGCCTACTGTATACATTTCACCACCTCCATGATTTCACTAACTGAACATGAAAAAGCAATGAAGATGGCACCGATGATATTTTTGACATTTCTATTTTTGTTTCTACTTTTATAACAATACAATGTGCCATAAATATATTTCAAAACATTTTGTATTGTGTTGTGACGTGAACAATAATAATATTTAATATCAAATCTTCCGAAGAATTTTATTTTTTGACTCAGGTTAAGTTTACAGACTTATATTGTTCTTTGTAAGTTTCAATTTCCTTGTTTATTTGTTTTAGTACTCAGTGAAAGTGAGTCAAACTGCTATTCAAGTGTCCACATTTTAACTTGATTTCCATTAGATATATGTCAAGCTAAAAGACAGTCCCCATCCTCCCAATTTATTTTAGCCCTGTGGTCTATGATGTGTCCGCTTGGTAACAGTAATCATAAATTAATAGGCACATCTTCCTAAATTGTTCTCTTGTTTCTGAATTATTGTTTTGACTGTACGGTAGGATCTATGGTTGACATATTGTAAAGATTACTGTAGGAAGTAAAATCTGTTTATGTTTTATGAAAGGAAGTGCTTTGATCAAGTTGTATTAAAGCTGCAGCTTTAAAAGGTGATTGCCTTCCAATCCTAAGGTCATGGGTTCGAATCCTTTGGTTCCAGGAATTTTTCTTCCTGGCTAAAAACATCATCACTCTGTAAGCCTCAAAGAGTTTATAGTGCGAATAGTATTTAGTAATTTAAAAATGCGGTTTCACAACATTTGCACTCTTTATGGGAAACTAGCTTACAGTGATATCTTAACTTGTACTGCTTGCAGTTTGTTTTACGGTTGAAATATCCTGTACATGTATAGTTAGTTAATTTTAACATTTCATAATTATTCCAATTTTTAAATGTATTTTTAACATTTGTAGGCTATTTTTCAATCTTTCTTTGTTCTTTTGGTATTTTAACACCAATTTTAACCGTGCGGTTTGCAGAAAAAAAACCTGTAAACCCATTTTTTAAACATTTGTCTGTTACATTTTTCACTTATTTTTAACGATCTTTTTATTGGCTATTTTATTCTGATATGTCGTGTTTGCCTTCGTGCTGTTTTGTTAGTTATTGTTTGTTCGTTTGGCCAGGGGTTTTAGAGGATACCCACACCTTGTGTTGGGCTCTCAGCCCATGGTGACCTCTTGGCACCCATCTGGCCATTTTCTGATTTGTTAATGCCGAATAGGTAATAAATAAATAAATAAAATAATAATTTGGGAGATGCTTGTTGAACAAGAAATTACTGGTAAATAAACTGTACTGGCTGAAAGATTACAGTAGATCTGTAATTGTACCATTACTGTAGGCCTATATTTTGTTTAAAACCCAAAGGATCCACTGATTATTCGAAAATAAAATAGGAGTATGGTGACCCCGAAGATTGACAACTGTGAGGCCATAATTGATTCTATGTTTCATTCTTTATTTGAACATTGTCAAGAACAAGCACATGTTCAAATAAAGAATGAAACGTACAGTAGAATCAATTATGGCCTCACAGTTGGCATTCTTTGGAGTTACCATACTAATATTATATTATTATTATTATTATTATTATATTTTCTCCAACCTGTTAGTGGCGGTTCTATCTCTGTTAGTTCATGATTGAATTTAAAATAAAAAATAAAATTTTGTGACATTCATATGTTTTTTGTTTATTGTTATTTTTTTTTTGTTGGGGTTAATTTTAGTGCACACAAAACAAGAATTTACAAAGAAAACATACAAAACCTAAAATAAAAATGTAATTAAACTAAAGTACAATGACTTGCACAATTTGATTGACCTCACAAATAATATGTCACATGACATTGGTTGAATACTCTGAATGCTATCCTGAAAATTGTGTCAAATAAAGAATGACTATATAGATAGGAATTCTAAGATACACAAGGCTGAAGATGGATTTTGTTCCTGGTAGCCATACAGTATCGTATCCCGTTACAACCACATCTCAACAACAAAAGTGCCAGTGACTACTAATTACTACTTTATGCCAATAGCAACTAAAATTTATAATCTGTAATACAATAAATATAATTTGTTTGCCTATAGTAAGTTATGTCTTTTAACATTAACAGTGAGAGGAATATATGGTTAGTATGCCATCTCTACAAGTTCATTTTTAAATAGCAAATAATACTAACCTACTGTATACTGTTGATGGAAGAATTAAGCTAACTAAATGTATTTATAAAGTATTAGTGTCGATAATGACATTAAATGCCAAGATTTAAAAATGTAAATTTAAGATGGGTGAAAGAATTTACGAACTAATATCTATCACGATTTTAACAATTTGTCCTTTGATGGAGTTGCTCTATTAAGGTACTTTATTATTTATTTATTTATTTTATTTATATTTTATTTGTTTATTTTATTTATTATGTTTTATTTATTTTTATTTATTTTTTTATTTATTATTTTATTTTTTTTATTTTTTATTTATTTATTTTATTTATTTATTTATTTATTATTTTTTTATTTATTTACCTATTATTGTTTTCCCTACCGGGGGTAGGGAAATATTTCTTCCATCCCAGATTGGTCCTTTACTAGAGTGTCTACTGTACTGATACAGTAGTATTATTCCATGGACTGGAAGGAAACCCATTTCGTAGTACATCAGCCATCATGATATACTGCATCTAGTACGTACATGATACACTAAGTGTTTAATTCTTTATGTTGTTTTCTCACTGAGCATGCCCAGTAGCTTGGCAGCATTTAACCCACAGAAACTCAATACTTCCAGGTGATTGAATGAACACAGGGTGTGTGATAATGACAAGATTCATATGACTATTAAGTACCGTATTAGGTCAACTAATTCTTGGTTTTAATTTCTATTTTATTCAAAAATAAAACTGAGAGCAAAACTGAGATTAAAATGTAGTTAAATATATCCTTTGTAAACATTGTTCTAATTCTGTCGTTTAAAAAAGGTGATATCAGGTCTCAATTGACCTGCATCTGGCAGTTTGGACTCACAAACTGACATCAGAATTTACTGATCTGTAAAAAACAGCCAGACAACCTGCCTAAATCTAGGCTAAGCCAACAGTACACCAAAAAGGAGTCCTACTGTATTCTTCCTACTTACTGCAGTCTTAAAGTACAATAGATTGCCGATAAAAACAATCCGTATTTTATTATGCCATCAACGACCATAGTTTCACCAGTCCACTACAAAGTTCAGGACAAGGTACAAAATATGATTATTCAACTATATAATAATAATATATTATTTTTTCATGTTATTTTATTGTTAATATTATTTTTTTTATTATCATTTGAGCTTCCATTAAGTTGAAAGCTTGTACAATAATAGTGCACTCACACTATTAGAACAAGCGACAGGACACTACAGTTTGATGAGGAACATGGTTCTAGTCTTAGAATTAATTAGGCCACCCATAAACAGGTTCAAGGGCATAAACTGCTTGAGATATTATGATGCATACTAATTACTGCTACCAGAGTAATAATAACTGGGTGTTTGTTCATAAACATTTGTTTTTTATTTCTTTTGGAGTGAGTATAGTGAATCACATAAAAACAGCATTTTATTTCAACGTACAAAATACGGTTTACTTTATTTTTGCCTACTTCTTGAGCCTAGCCTATTCCCTCTCTCTCAATCCATCTTTGATTTTCCTCCCCCTTCCCCCTCCATCTACTCGTCTTCACCTTCTGCTTCAACTTTCAACCCTGCCCACAAATTGTTGGAAATTTGTTTATGTATACTGTTATACCTATGTTTTTGTGTAATTTAATGTAATTCTCAGTGTGCCCTTAATCATAGTATTTAAAGCACAATACAGTTACAATTGAATTGATATGTTTTCTCTGTGTAAGCACCTTTTTAGGTACAAATATAAGAAACTTGACCTTCAACCTTCATACAAAGGAAGTTTACTCATACTATTATTCAGTAGATATGTTTTCATTGTGTTATTGATAGACTACACCTGCCCGTCGTTTTTGGGGGTTTTTTTTCTTCTTTTTGTGTATTTCATTAATTTTAGCCAAGTAACAGCTTACTATATATTGGTGTTTAGGTCATAAAATTTAAGATTTAACTTTAACTTTAAAATCTATTAGAATTAATTCAGCTCAAAGGGAATACTTCCCGCATGAAATTTTAGACCACTCGCTGCCGTCTTTGGTAGGCTTACATGACATGAATCGGTGTAGATTTCTTCAGCACATTCCAGTTAGAAGCTGAGGAAGATCATGTGGAGGTAGAAGTAATGAAAATGCTATGGTAGGAAACAAGCCTTTGTGTTGACATCAAAAGAAACATCATAAAATACTGTACAACTGAGTACAGTATAAATTTTGCATAACAGTTTATGGACACCATCTGCTAATAGAATATCATAATGCTGGTATTAGTAATGTAGGTTTGCATATGGCTGGCACAGTGGCATACACAATCTACTGTACTGTACAACTACATCATTTGATCCATCTTCAACTTTTCTAACCTGACATTAGTAAAAAAATGATTTGCATGATAAAATTATAAAATAAACATTTTTTTTCCTAGGTTCTAATATATAAGTGAAATTTAGCCCCAAGGATATAGTACTATCTCCTTGTGCTTTACAAAATTGAGAGAGTTAAAGATTTATACAGAAACTTAAAATAAAGTACGGTACAGTATAGTTCGCCCTAGGATTTGAGACCACCTTGGGACCTTAAAATATGGAATGGTCTGGGGGTTCGGTCTTCAATTACAGGTTTAGTTTTGTGTTGAAAGATTGAAGATTATTTGGTTCCTTGACAGGGGTCTCATAATTTGAGGGTTCTCAATTAGAGGGTGCAAACTAGGAAATACTGTAGTGCAAAATTCTTTTTGAATATGAGTGCTCCAGATACTTATTGTTTCTCTCAATGATTTAACTTCTTATTCTGTTGTGTAGAACTTCTTAATTTTTTCTTATATAAAATATAATATGATAATAGGCCAAAGTACATTCTAATAGATGTGCATGCATCCTTCTCCATTGCTTATTAACTTTGGGGATAATTCCAGGTGTGTTCCATTTGTCTGCACACCAGTACATTGTACGAGTACTTCACCATTCTACCAGGTACTGTACTCATTAATATAACGGCTGGGTGGTGATGAGAAGCAATGTTGATGAAGGCTACCTCCATCTGTCAGCATCATACTCTCAACCCCTTGATGTTATACCCAATAGCTTGTCTGTCAACATCATACTCTCAACCCCTTGATGTTATACCCAATAGCTTATCATGCTCCACATGCTTAAATAAATAAGAGTGGCTAGTTTGTGTCTGCTATGCTGCATGAATTGTCAGGAGAACAAGAATATAAATATTTACCATAGTTAAGTAGTTCGTAATTATGTGGTGTATAGAATGTTGCAGAATTTGTAATTGAAGAGGGTTTGGATTTATGGATTATGCCCTTCCAATTCAAGTTAAACTCGGCGAGTTAATTTACGTTTTAAAAGTAATGTTTCCTGTGTTTACTGTACATCAATTAAGCTAATGCCTTTACAGGTCATAGGACAATCGGTCAATAATACTAGTTAGCTAGTGAAAATGTTGTTTGATGAACGATTGAACTGTGTGCTGATAAATGGACATTTCTGGATTGTCAATCAAACATAACAATTGACCAATCAGAACAGGAACAGGAAAATGCGCGCGCCAGCAACGAGTATACTCGCCCACAGTGTGTTGCTGAAGACGCCAGTGATGAGTATACTCGTCAAAATCGGGGTAACATTCTAGCGTTTATAACTTCAATTGTTATATACATTGTAGAACCACAGACTCAACGGCTGGTAGTTCGGGGAAGATACTACTAGATGATAGCGTACAAATGATGTATGTATGTTTGTTGTAATGTTGCCGGTAGTACACTTGTGCGGCACAAGTGGAGGCGCCCTTTGAGCATATACCAACCCATGCAAAAAACGGACAAGATAACTCGGACTTGGCGTAGTCAATAAAAAGTGCTATCACAGTGCTGTCAACGAGTTTACCTGTTCCATAATATTTCCCCACCAATTTATGAAATACATTATTTTGATGATATACTGTATGACTAGATAAAATTTTAAAAAAGCATGTTTGTACTATGTAAACTTGTTTTGGCAAAAGGGAAGGAACCTTAAACATAGGTGTAGTAGTAGTTAACGTGTTAAAACATGTTTTTGCTCATTCATACTAGTTTTGGGATGGCAACCCTGATTTTAGGCATGTCACATGTCTTTTTTTTTTAAAATAAAATTTATAGTGTGGACAGGGCTTTAAGCTCTGTCCACACTATCAAATTTTCTTTGACAAAAAAAAAATTGTTGTATGCCCATATTTAGTCATGTTGTGCCTATATATGGTCATGATGTGCCTATATATGGTCATGTTGTGCCTATATATGGTCATGATGTGATGTCATCATGACCATATTTTGGCATGTCACTGTTTTTATCAAATAAAATTAGATAGTCTGGTCAGGGTTTTAGATAAAGATTGTCATTTTAAATGTTTTGGCTTTCTGTAGATTTACTCAGGTATATCAAGCACTTGTGTAATGTTGCTATGTACAGTAACTAACAAAGGATTGTACTATGGTGTGACATCAACGATGCTATAACTAAAAACAACTTTACTTCCTTAAGCCTGAGAATGAGACTTGATTATAGTCCTGGTATTGAATCTTTTTTTAACTGGTAGCCAGGGCCAGTTTGTTGGGGGAAGTTTGCCTGTGCGGAAGTTGTCTTTACTTTGCTTCTGACAACCTCAAATGAAAAACGGCTGGGAAATATTTTTTTCTTGACCTCAGCAATGTGGTAGCCTTGGCTGAAATTATTCAAAGCGGGTTGGAGTGCCCCCGGGCCGTAGTTGGCATGCTGGCTGGGGTTAAATACTAGGCTTTAATAAGCATCACACTCAGTGCATGCTGACTTCCATCTTGTAAGTGGCAAGTCATTGGATGAGAATGAAATAGAATTTTTTGAAACTATAACAAGGAATTTTGTAACAATAAATTTAAAAAAATTTAATTAGAAAATTTCCTTTTTTGCCCTATTCCAAATATTTGAAATAGAAAAATTTTTGCTGGGCCACCGAGGACCAGCGCCGTGCAGTTTGGCGCCAGTACCAACATAAAACAGGTACATTATCCTTATCCTGCCTGTCTCTCATGCAAGGGTTATTCGAGGAACAGAGCGGTCGGACTCAAATTAATACCCGACGCTGGCCGAGTTTGAACTGGAATCTACAGTGCAAGAAGCAGGAACATTACCTCTTAACCAAACGCTCACCTACATATATCGGCTTTGTCTAGTACTGGTAGTGTACTGGTTCTCTGTGACTTTACTATATTTGTACAGTAATATCTGTGAATGATCGTCAATAAGCTATTGCTTTTGTCTGTGTAATTCTCCCACCCATCTTCTACCAAGGTCATTACCATAAACAATGTTTGACATAATAGGATGGCCTCTGAAATAATCTCTCAAGTTTCAATATCATAACCATTATTACCATCTGGTAAATGCTAACCATTGACCTTCTAGTTTTGTTTGCCTTTGACACTCTAACTGAACTATGTTTTTTTTTTCGTGATTTTAGTCTCGATTTCACTATTTTTGCAGAATATCAAGTGTTTTTTTTTTTAAGATTATTAATTGTTCTAGTCTTGCATCAGAGGGAGTGAGGGAGAGAGAGAGAGAGTAAACTAATCAATCTCGCCATACTGAAATTAAAATCATGTCCTCAAATGTTTCCCATCAAGTGATCTGTATACTGTATTCAAACTTTTCAATATGCCCTTATCTAACTCCAAAATGAATCTCATCCCATTGTTATTAAACCCCTCCCATCTTACCCATTAAGTTCCTCCTGTTGTACAATTGAAATACAAACTACTTTGTGGTACTATAGTAGACAGTCAGTCAAGCATATCAGATTGATGAAAATAGGTTTAGTTACAATCTATCTCTGCGCTTTACTAGAAATTCCATGGTAACACCATTTTTCTTTTCTCTTGCAGACCACCAGCATCACTAAAGCTATCAACAATCAGGAAGTACCAGTCAAAGAGAAACATGTCAGAAGTATCCTTTTAAAATTGGTTTGCCAGGTTTACATTGTTATTCTTTTGAAAAAAGAAATGAACATTGAAATAAAAGTTAATATGGGTGTCTCCTTAATTGATATGTCCCACAGGACAGGTTCTACTGTAGTCAGTTTTATCCAGGTAAGTATTCACTCATAGTTTACCAACATCACCAGTGATTTGTGTAAAAAGAAAAACAAGGTTGTAGAATAGCAAGGGGCTAGAAGCTTAGGTCAGTATGCTAATAATAAATTACATATATCCAGTGAGAAATTAATGAAAAATGGTACCCACCACTGTCATCGCTAGTTTGACATATTTAAATGTTGGGGAATGTCGGATGTGATCAGGATATGTTTAATTTGGTAATGTTTCCCAAAGGGGACGTTGAACAGGAGATGGGGAAACCATAATGTTTGGCATTATACAGAATTGGTGGTAAAGTATTGGTTATATTTACGACCACCAATTGCTGTAATTGAGTCATTAGTAGTGAATGTTGTTGAGTGAGGGAGTTGATACTTAAAGATAGGCAGATCATCAAAATTTCTTTGACAACAAATATATGTATTACATGTCCATATTCAATTCAATTCAGTCAACATTTATTTGGTACTCTCAAGAAAATATATATAAAAAATATATAGTCATGATATGCCTAAATATTCATGACGTGATGTCATCATGACCATATATAGGCATGTCACATGTAGAGCTGTCAGATTTTTGTCTGTCAGATTCAATAGAAAATTTTGATAGGAACACATTTTCATATGCTTAAGACTGATGTCATGGAAATGATGTTAATGATCTTAACCAAAGTATAGATGTGATTATTGGTTCCTTCCAAGAGAAGGGTGCTGGTACATTTTGGACTGTGGTTTCCAGGTTACCCATGCAAGGCAACCCAATCGTCTGCTGGAAATTCTGTCACACGTTGCACAAACTGATGAGAGAAGGCCATGAACATGTAAGTATTTCAGTATCGTAGTGTGTTATTTTTACACTTAATTACTTTCAATTTTTTAATAACATACTTTATTTGATAAACTAATTCTTGAAACCTGAACGTTAGTTTCAATATTCCTTTATTAAGTATGGTTATGAAAATTTGAATAAACTCCCGCTTCGAATAATCGCCTCCCTCGAATATACGCCCCTCCAAAAGCTAATTTAGATTAAACGCCTCCCTCTAATAATCATCCCCCCCCCAAATTACTTTGAACAAAAGTAATGGAAGCAGCGTCATTCTTGACACATTCTATTAATCTACTTCAGTAGAATTACATTTTTTTCTAACCTGAGATTAATAAGTCTTTTGAATCACACAATAATAACACATTTTGGCAGTAATTATGTTTTGTAATTTCACATTTACTAACAAGTTAAGGCATTTATTTGAGAATACGTATCCATTTTACATTTAAAAAAAATATGCCTCCTTCGAATAAACTCCCCCTCAATAACCCTTCTCAGCAATAAATACTGTAATTGATTTTACCTTAAATAAGCAAATAAATGATTTACTTAATTTATTTATTGATATTTTACTATTATACAGCTTATTTTTCACAGTCGCCATATTTCTTCAGTCATAAACCTCTAAAAATGATAAGATTTTATTGTTTCAGTTTCTGAACTTAGTATAGTGAAGTACATACTTCAACATGCTTGTGGTTACTCTACATACTTACTTTGCAATCCCTAGTTGACACTCATATTTACTCTACATTTTTGCTCTCATAACCTTGAGATTTTCTAATGGGAATTATTATGCCAGGATAAGTTGTCATTTCTACTCCATTTTGACACTAAATTATGAATGTACTTACTAAATATTTCAAATTGTAATTCTAACTGCTGATTCCTACTTTACTATTGCTACTGCTACAACTAATGTTGCAACAGTAGTATTACTTTCTGCTGCTTGTGATGTGTTGTTACTATTGTGGCTAATTTCTGTGACTACTGTATTACTATAGTTATTTTATTGCTATTGTTATTTTGCTAACTCTCTGTACTAGGTCTGCTAAGTACTAATAAGGTTGCTACTGCGACAATATGTAACTGCTGTTTAAAGTGTCAACTAAATACTATTAGTAACTGATACTACTTCTGCTGCTACTACTTACAATTACGAAAGGGTTCCCAAATCCTAATTCCTCTGCGCTTGCAGGACTCGTGAGTCGTATGGAAATTAGGTCATTCTCCCACACTCCTACAAGTAAGCAAAAATCCTCTGTGAACTCACTCAACTTCTGCATATCTATGATGCTTACTATTTTGTAACCACTATTTTAAATATAATTTTGAAATAGTGAAAGATTGTGAAATTGTTCTTTTGGGGAAAATAATTCAAGTATTCAATTAATTATTTAAAATCTTTTTTTTTAAGGCTGTGAAAGATTCAATGAAACATTCTGAGCATATTTCAGATCTTGGAAGCATGTGGGTAAGTCTGGTAGTACAGTAGGCTTAAAATGTTTTCCTTATTTGAAAGCCTGATTGTCCATAGTTCGGAGTCAATTTGTGAGAGAATTGAACATGAACAAGGCAAAAAAAAAATCTAAGAAAATGTAAGGGAAAATGAGTTCCTGTCATTGATGCATCCATGAAACATTACTAAGATTTGAAAATTAACTTAGGAGCAGTGGTGAATCTAGGAATTTGAAATAGAAGGGGTCCCAGAGAGGGCTTTTAACAGATGGAGAGTTTAGACTAGTACCTTAGCCCCAACATGGGTGTGCTGAGGTATAAAGTTTTATGGCTATGGCACCTCTAGGTGGCCGGAAATGACATTCTCAGACTTAAATTTGAATGCAATTTTTTTTCCCCACTTAAATTACAAACCTAAGATTGTGACTATAAACCTGTTAGTTCTATTTATCTAAATCTTGTTTTTTAGTAACATTGTTAAACCATTTTTGTTTCAATTTCATTCTTTAGGCACATATGCAGGAAGGCTATAGCAAGTTAATCAATGCTTATTGTTCCCTGCTTGTCACCAAAATAGAATTCCACAAAAAGGTAAGATTTCTGAACAGAAGGAATGAATCTGTGACTTGATGGTTAAAGTGTCAGCCTTCCAATTTGTAGTATCTGGGTTCGATACTTGCAAACAACCAAAACCGAATCCATTCCCCAAGCAATATAGAGCCAGAGATATGTATATCAGCATATTATTTTGGTCTCTTGTCATATACTTGGCCTTTATTGTTATTTGTGTGTTAGTTATTATGTGATAATAGATTACTAGACATATGGGTCTAGATAATAGATAACTGGATTTTTTTTGGTTGCATTTGTTGTGATTACACCTGATTGGCATATCATTGGCGCTCATGCATAAAGAAATGAAAGGAAAAATAAAATTGAACTAAAGTTCTAAGTAATAAGCATTGATGAATGGATTGCACTCTCATTGTGGTTTTAAATGAAAACCCCCACAAACCTTGATAATAATCCAGGTACATCTCCTATTTGATATATTCCTTTGTGGTACTGTATTGGAACATCCATCATATCTCTAGGTATCTATTATCTGCACTACACATACTTGTACTCATTCACTTAGCATTCACTCACACCTTTGATAAGGTAGTTACACTTACATAATATTAATCATAGCTATCCACTATAATACCATTTTCACTTTCATTACTATGTTAGTTACACATCCATTAACTCTAATAATAGCTTCACCATTTCAGTATTATACCCGTGACTGTACTAGTTTTTGTACAGTTATTTTTCCTTGTTATACATTTCTTGACTATACTTCAAACATCCCTTGACAACAGTTATAAAACCTTCTTCACTGTAATTACCACACCTTCCCTACATCATAGCCTCCACATTAATTATCAAATTCCTTCTTTGTACTTTATGGTATCCCATTTTTTTTATACCTAATACTACATTATTTAACTTAATTCCTACAGTATGTGGTATTTACAATTATACCATGATCATCACATCTGTTTTAACAGTAATTATCACACATCTTTTGTATCTATACCCTTGCAGTATAATTATTATACCCCTCATATTATCTACTATTATCTCCCCTCGTATTATATGCTATTATCTCGCCTCATACTATTATCTTCCCTCATATACTATCATCTCCCCTCATATTATAAATATTTTCTCTCTTCACTTTTATCATATCCCTTCACTATTATCTCTTTACTATCATACATCCCTTCTATCTATACCTTTACAATATAATCATCATGCACCATATTATACTATTGTCTCCCTTCACTTATATACTTATACCCATTCACTTTCACATTTTCACTATTATTGTCATCATCATACCTCTTTCACTGCAATTATATCACATCACTTAACTAATTCTTTTACCTTGTGTTACCCCTCCCCTCTTCCTTCATAACTATCATACCCCTTTACTCACCCTTTCACTATTATTATTATCATATCTCCTTCACTATAGTTATATTTCACCCTTTCATGGTTATATCCATACCACCTTTACTACAATTATACAGTTATATATCGTATCCCTAGACTTCACTTCCTTAATACCTATCACACTCTCAGCACTATAATTACAATACCTTCTTCACTATAATTATTATACGCTGTATCACATCCCTTCCCTAATGATCACACCTTGCGTTTACCTTGAGACAATATTGATTGTGTAAGGTGCTATATAAATACCATACCATATAAATGGCCATGACCATGATATATCTATTCAAACACTTACGATATTATAACTTTATGATACACACCATTTCACATATTAGGTTAAAGTGTTTTTATTACAATATCATGTTTTTCAAAATTGTTTTGAAATATCTTTTCTTTTTTTTTTTTAACTTTGAGATTATATTTCTCAATACAAATATGACTGGATTATACCTGTATTGTTGCATTTTATTATGTTTTTATAAAGAAAGTGATGCTGTGGTGTAAATTCAGTATATAAGACAGATTATTGTTTATAAATTGAATACCGAGAGAATGAGATATCATGGTCGCAGGATAAAAATTTTTAAAAAATTCCTAATAATTTTTGTAATTTTGAAATACTTGAGTAGATTCAAACAAGACACTGTACATATAAACAGAAGTTTTGCCTAATTGTACTAGCAATGAAAGGCAGATTGGTGGTTGTTGAAATGATGCATTCTACAGTTTATCATGTTGACTGAACAGCTTGCTTCAGTGTCGCATATTATAGTGTGCTCTATTGTCTTTGTTGTTATAATTCTTTCTGTATCACACCCAGTATGTCACTTGCCTCGGAGGAAGGCAAAGCTATCAATTCGGCCTCGTGACTGCTGCTAAAAACATTAATTCAAATTTCCTCTTTTGATCGGTTTCCCCAAGGTGTTTCAGAAACGTAGTAATGAGACAAGATCTATTTATAGCACTATTGTTCTGAAGAACACAATATTATGTATTAGTATATGTACTTGTCAGTTAAGAATTGATAATAAAATCATGATAAACTTAAATATTTTTATGTGAACTTTGTATCAACGTATATTTTTAGTCTTATTTGCTACTGAATGTTGTAATATTAAATCTATAATTTATCCATTCATTTAAAAGTTAATGAGTTGGTATCTATTGAAATGAAATGCTTAATAACAAAGCCTAATTGTGTTTTCCAGTATCCCACAATTCCTGGTAATCTTGCTCTGAGCGACATTGAGAAAGACTTGGAGAAACTCACTGAAAATGAAATTAATAATTAGTAAGTGAATTTGTTTTGCTTCACAAGATTTGTGCATCCCATCAAACAATTTTTAAGGAAGGCTGCTGGTTGTATGTCTGATATCTTGGCTTGCAAACAATACAAAGTAGACAGGATCTTCTGAACACACAGAATTAAATATTTTAATATTAGCCAGTAATATAATTGATAGTTTATTCAATTGTACACTTCTTAAAGAGAGGCACTTCATCACAACTATTCATTGGAAACTATTTGTACATTATTATTACATAATGTATATCATTCGGGAAAAAAATCCCGAATTCGCAGAATCAATTATAACATTTGTTTTAGCAAATATATTAAATATTTGATAGCCTCCTTTATAGTTTTTAAAAGTTATCAAAGTTTTTCCAACTCTTTAAAATGAAACATTAAAATAACGTGTGTTATTTTTCATCATGTTATTGAAGGAGAATCTTCTTAAGTCAAGCATAAATTATAACTAATAAACAAAGTTAATATAAATAATAATAAATCTCAGTTTGTATAGTGCCTCACATTGATGTGACCTTTGCACATTCGAATAACTATGCAAGAGAAGTTAGAGGAAGTAGACCTTGAACTTAAACTCATAGATTAGATCCGACAGCCAAGTACATCGATGCAACATTTTATTGCAATTGAATAAAAAAGTAATTATAATTTAATATGAGCTTGGATGTTTGACAATGTGAAACATACCATACATAGGTCCAAACTTTCAGTTTAGTTTCATTTCCAAATAACATAACACTACATTATTAAGCGAAGGAGGCTAAATAAGTTCTTATATAAATCATACAAAACTTTTAAGTTGTAGCCCTCCCCCTCCCCTCTTAAAAATACTAGATAATAACAAATTCAAAATTGACAATAGTATGTTAACAATTCCAATTTTCTCTTATTAGCTTCCAGTTGTGTGTAGAGATTTTTGATTACTTGGATGCTCTTATAGCTACGTCAGATGCCAGTAAGTGTAGTATAGCTTTTTAATTTTCAAAATTTTATATCATTTAGTCACATTACAGTGCACCTTCCAGTTCGAGAACCATCTAATTCTGAGACCCTCAGAGTCCATTTTTCAAAGAACCAAAGCCACCCCTCTAATTGGAGACCGAAAACTCCGAGATTACCCCAAAATTTTCAGGTCCCCAAGTGGTCTCGAATTGGAGGGCGGACTCATGTAATTGTTTTTAATTCATATTTGAAAGGATGAACGTGGATGAACGTGGAGATATAATTATTATTGACATTATTATCATAATTGCTGATATAATGTTAACAGTTGTTCTAATTATTGATATTTATGAAATCGCAAGTATTATCATAGGATAATAATAGCAATAATCACAAATTTATTTTCTGGCAATTTCAAAGAACTATTAAAGCAGAAATACATAATTAAACCAATAAAAAAAATAAAAGTTTAGTGAATGATACAAAAAGCTATGTGTTTGCCAATTGAGCTCCCTCATAAAGCAGAAGGAGCAATAACAATTCCATTGAGAAATGTATTGTATGGTAATTATTGTTTTTTTGTAATGTACCGTAATTTAGTGAAATCTGTTATGATAGCGCTTAATCCTCTGTGCACAACAACTGTGAAATGAACCATAAGCTATGAAAGGAAGGAATGAATCATAATCTATTGAACTAAAAATTAAGCATAGTCCTTAAACTAAACATAGATTACTTTAGACTTTTGGGCAGATAAAAAAAATTATCACTCTAGTTTTTCAAACAGTTGATGAGGGAGGTTTTGTTTGTCTTTTTTTTTTGTTGGAAACTCTGGATATGGAGTAGGCCTATTTAAATAAAAGAAACGTAATTAAAAATGCACATTTGCATGTTAGGGTAAAGTGTATTACATTTAAAATGACAAAAATGCTCATATAACATCTGCATCGTAGTTTGATATGGACTTAGGGAGTGATAATCTGACCATTTTTCTATTGGCCTTGAATAGCTTACCTGCCCTTTGTAATAGAAATAAGTAATGTATGTATATAATGGCATATTAGGGAAAGGTTTATACAAAGTACACAAAGAAATAGTAGAAGGGTGGTGGAGATAAGATAACATTCCAAGTAGGACATTTTACATTGATATATTACCATTTAATGGGTAATAATTTTGTCATCAGCATTATTGTTTGTGGTTAGTTTGGGGTATAATTTTGTACCATGTTTTCTATCAAGGTAAACCTTATTGATCCAATACAGGAAATTACAGTCATTAAAAACACAGAGGATGTGTCTGCTATCTGCAGGTCAACATCTAAAGTGAGCCTGGAATGTTGTAGACTATGCATCAACATTAACCTGGAGTTTTGTAGGCTAGGCATCGACGTGAGTCTGGAGCATGTTAGGGTCGTCTAGGCGGGTTGCTCTCTACAGGAAGTCCATTTATGTTTCATCGCTTGAATTGGAAGTATTAGATCAACAGGATCACTTCCTGTCAGGGATAATGCAGGCTTTCAAATTGCTTCCAGGTGCCTGTGGTTTCATTTTCATTATGCTTGATTACATATCCAATCACCTTCCCATTTACACTCTGTATTAAGCAATACAAAATGGAAGTGTTTTTTTTCACCTTAGACTTATATGTTTTATTACTCATTCTTTATTTCTTTATTCTAAAATGAGACAGTAAAATACAACAGTGGAGGCTCTAGTTATTTGCAGATAGGAGGTCCATCATGGCATCGAACATTGGGATATCCATGCTTGTTTTATGAGGGTAGTAATGACCCTGACCCCCTATGGTTACACAAGTGCAATACTGGGTGGCTTGACAAAATATCAAACATGAACCTAAATCCCTATAATTACATTAACATGAGATTCTCAACCACCTGTCTCAACGACCAGTACAATGTTTTCAACAAAAACATGGTTTTTTAAAAAAATAATATTTTCAATTTTTTCTTTAAGGAGTGAAGTTTTGTCCTACATGACGTGTTATTGTACTAAATACTCAGTACGTTCCCAAATACTTTCGAAAAAAATTTGCAAGTGATTTGGGTGAGAATCTAACCAATGACCTCCAGATAACTACCATGAAGCCATAACCACTAGACTGCCGAGATACTTGCACTTATGTGCTATTTCGATGGGAGTTTGCATCAGAAAAATGTTTCCAGATGCAAACTTGATCGAAATAACAATTTTTTCTTGCTAATGCTAAAAATGTATATTGTATTAAGCAAGCCAGCTTCATATACAAAGTTTTGTTTTTTTTTGCTAAAACTAAAATTCAACTCATTTGTTTATGTACTGAGTTATATCCATCACACGGGAAGTTCTTTAAATTTATAGCAGACATCTTAACTATTAAATTTGCCTGAAAGTCATCATTCAATATGATAAACCGTCTGTCTGCGGATCTGGGAACATAATGATAAATTGAAAACATGTTACAAGTTCATATTTTCTTTGTTTTTTACAATACAGTCTTTGGATCATTTGACCTTTCAAAGAGCATATCTATGACCAACTCTGGACAATGTCGGTTATCGCCGCTGATCCCCATCATCCAAGATTGCAGCCATCTGTATGACTTCAGCGTTCGGCTGATGTTCAAACTTCATGCATGTAAGTCAATGGAACCTACACAAAGTAAATCTCCCCTTCTTCACAAAGTAACTATGCCAAAAGTAATGATCTTGGAATGATAGGGTATGCATCAAGAATTTGAAACAACATTGCACGATCTCACAAGAGACACTTTTTCAAAAATAAATCATGTTGTAAGTGAACTCAGAGCCGTCTTACGGTAATGCTGTACTTATTATTTATTTTTAACAGTTCTGAGTGTTAATCAGGGTGTGGGTTGCCTGAATAAATATTAATAAAGAAGGAAAGGAAAGAAAGATAATGTGCTTGCATTGCTAATACTGATCCTTCACAACCCCCTACTAACCCCATGTTACTTTTTAACTCCATTTTAAGGTAAGAATTCACTTTAGTATAGGTTTTTTTTTGTTAAAAAAGAACATGTTATTGTTTTTCATTTAATGAAAAATTCTATAGATTATGTTGCCTTCAACTAAAAATTTACATTCTTATTTTTTTATAAAATTTTAATTGTTTTTTAAACTGTTTTTCTTTAAGGTTCACAATCTATTCTCAAATTATTCACCAATTATACAATTTATTATCAACTAATTCAATATTTTATAATTTTTTTTCCAATATTTATTTTCTTGTAAAGCTTGTCTTAAAATATTAAATAATATGCTTACTGATTTCTGATTCTAGGTTTACCTGCTGATATTTTGGATGGGCATCGTGATCGTTTCAAGAAACAGTTTGACTCCCTCAAGACATGCTTTCTCCGAGTTAAAAACCTCATGTATTTTAGACGATTAATTCAAGTGCCAACCTTACCTGATGTAAGTATATCAAGCTCTGTCCAGATTATCAAATTTTCTTTAACAAAAAACTGTTGTATGCCCATATATAGTCATGATGTGCCTATATATGGTCATGATGTGCCTATATATGGTCATGATGTGATGTCATCATGACCATATTTTGGCATGTCACATGTTTTTGTCATAAAATTTGATAGTTTGGATAGTGCTTTACATAGACATCTATGTACTTGTTCTGAGTAGCAGTGGCAGCGCCCGTGGGGGACAGCAAGGGCTGAAGTCCTCCCACTAGACAGGTCAAGTCCCCCCATCTGACAGAGCTAGTCAGGCAGTCGGACTAAAAGATATATAAAAATAGGCCCACGCCAAGCCAACACATGTCTGTCACAATCAGAGTGTCATTTCTGGCCACCCAGAGGTTCCTATTATTAAAAAATCTCATTTGGGAGGGGAACACCCTCTCAAACCCTTCCCCTAGCTCGGGCCTACCAGCCTAAGTCCCCCTTTGTCGGACAGCTCAGCGCCCCTAGAAAATATATCCTAGAGCTGCCACTGCTGTGTAGTCATATTTTGATTTGTTTTTGCAGCCATATTAATCATGTTTGTAATTTTATTTTATCTGTTTATTATTATTTTTTTTTTTATATTGCATATCATATCCATTCATTTTTTCAACTCTTTATTTCGGAAATTGTTATACATCCATTAAACAATAGAAAAGTTCAAATTTAAATAATATATTGTGCTGTACCTAGATTATTACTAGGCCTTCCTATACTGCTTTATGTAACTAAATATTTTATATTTGGAAAAAAACTCATGTATTTTAATTTTTTTAATTGTACATATTGTATCCATTCTTTTATCTCTTTATTTCGGAAATTTTTATACAGCCATACAAATGAAAAGTTAAAATTTTCAGTTCTGCTTTGCTTAGATTATTTTACTAATCCTTTCTAATACTGCTTCACATTAAATGTTATATATTGGAAAAATAATGTCAGAACACATATATAAAAGTTAATTATGATTTTCAAACAATTGAAAAGTATAATTTAAAACAGTAGATATAAATTTGATATTTTATGGATTTTTTTATTTTTTCTTCCCTTCACAGAGTCCTCCCAACTTCTTTGTCAAAACCACTGATTACAGCCACCACTACACACCAGCCGTCGTCCTGCAGGGTGGGGATATGGAGACAGAGACAATGAGCGTTGCCAGCCACGAGAGTCCACCTGTAAGGATAGTTAAAAGTCTTCTTTATCAATACAAATCAATATGTTAAATACTAAAAGATACACTGAGAGAAAAGTTGTTTTGCTTTTGTCTCCCTAGCTTGCTGAAAAATGCTATACAATGGAACCTCTCCTTTTGGTACACACCTATTAAGCATATACTTTTTAAGCCTCGAAATGAAGGAAAGTGTATCTTTTAACACTACGGCTAATCCCTATATATATACTTGATTTTATATCTTGGTCTGTGCAATTCAGGATCAGTCGCTATCAGAGGTGTGATTTTTTCACCTGTTGGCCTTTTCCTGTCACTGGCAATCTTTTATTTCATTGATATTTTATTGTATTTTTGCCTGTGTGAAGTCGAATAAATAATAAAAAAATAAATACTTCTCTGTAGCCGCTACTGTTAAATCTTCTCATGACATCTCTGATAACCAATTAATATATACATCTATTTATGATACAGCTCTCTGTTTCATTTTCTATCTTTAAATACTTTTACTTATCTAATCATATAATGTTGTGTTTTGGATTTTTTTTTCAGAGTCCTAGAGATTCTACATTGATGGATGATAGTAACTTTCAGGATCTGTTGGTGGATGTAGATGCATTGCAGCAGAATGGTCAATTTTCATCTCCACCACCAAGAGATGACAGGTAGAAGGGCACTTAATGGTTACCAAGGCCAATAGTATCTTGGCTGATTTCTGTACAGTAACATCTCCCAATTTCAAACCTCCACATTTTACGAACCCAATTTGCGGCGATCGTTTTTAACTACAAAAACACTTAAAATAATATAAAATGTTACTTCAGCTAAGAAAGAAAGAAAATATTTAAACCAATAAAGTGACATGAAAACTAAGAAATATCAATCGTTTTCAGTTGAGATATGTTACATTTGAGCTGTGCAAGCTAGTTCAGGCATACTGTACAGTAAATCTCACGTTTTGTTCTTTGGATTCGCAATCTTTATGAAGAGAATAATAACACTAGTTTTGGTCCTGTTTGATTTGGTAATCACTTCTAATGAATACTTCACAATTAACACAGGTAATTTTAGCTTTTGTAAATTATTATTTTGTTGAAAAAAACAGTAAAATCCAAGTCAATTTTTGTGACAAAATTTTGATCCCATGGCAAGGCTTAGACCTACCTAGTCCTGTTCTTTGTAGTGTAGGCCTAGGCCTACTCTCTACCACACTGAGATGCTGTGAAAATTTGAACTCTCTGAATTACAAATCTTCTCATTTACTCTGTTCAGACAGAGAGGTATGTAATTTGGAGATGTTACTCTATTCATTATAATCACAATGCTATATTTAAATATCCAAAAGTATGATTTTTAATGTTTAATAATTTATATCTACGTAATCAGATTTCTTAACAACGCACTGAAATGGAAGTAAATTGTCATCATTTTATTTTTAATGCCTTTATGATGAGAATATTTGTAATATCAATATTAGTATATATAAATATATAAATGATTATTGATCATTAAAATAATTATGGATAATATTTTACAGAGACTGGTTGATAGATCAACTGAGGCAGGAAATCAGTAACCTTAAGTTTGAACTGGAGCGAGTCAAGAAAGATGATCAAAGAATAATGGATGATATGAAGAAGAAACTGATGGAGTTGACAAGACAGTTAGAAGAGTATAGATGCATAGGAAGGCAGATGGTCGATGTAAGTCATTTGGGCTTTTTCAAGAAATATTTTCCCTTGTAAATATTTTGAAATTGAATTGCTCATTTTGAAGTAAAATAAAAATTATCAACTTGAACATAGAAATTGGTGTATTTAAAAAATGTTTATCCATAATTCCAGATCGAAAAATGATAGAAACACTTCCACTCATTGAAAGTGTTTTAGTATTTTTAATATCATTATTTCAGTATGAAAATCAGGGTACACATTTCTCAAGTTAATAATGTTACTGCAAGATAAGCAAGTTAATTTAAAAAATAATATTTTGTCATTTTAAGGGGACAATACATCTTTAAGATATACAGCCTTAAAAAATCAATTAAAACAGTTAGTAGTAATATCATCATCGTCATCATTTATTTACATCAGCATTTTCCCTCTTACGAAGGGTTACTGACTTTCACGCCATGATGACACTCCCATGTTCCACTTTTTCCTATCTTCAGCATCCTCCTCATTTAGACCAACTTTACAGCTTTCTTTCTTCACCATATCTTTCCATGTAAGCTTTGGTCTTTCTCTTATACTATCCACTTCCAGATCCCATGCTTGTTTACACAGGTTGATCATCTTCCCTTCTCAGCACATGACCCATCCATCTCAATCCACTTTTCTTTACCACTTGTACAATAGCTTCTTCCAGACCCAACCTATCCATGAGCTCCCTTGTATTCTTTCTATCGGACAGTTTCAAACACCACACATCTTCCGAGTTAGTTTTCCTCAAGATAAATTCTTCTACTGACTTCACATTCCACATTTCTGAGCCATATGTTATCGCTGTTTTAACACAAGCTTTATAGATCTTGCCTTTCATTCTCATTGTGAACCTTCTACCAGCTAGGATCGAAACCAGCTCATTAAACTTGATCCACCCGAATCTGCATCTTTTTGCAACTTAGTCTCGCATCCTCCACTGCTGTTGATTGTGTCCCCAAGATAACAAAACCTATTAACCTTTTGGACATCTCCCATGTACATCCCTACCTGCTCCTTTACCACTTCGTTACTAGTCTCTCTGCATTTCTTGCACTCAAAACTCTGTTCCATCCTGTTGGTAATTTAAAGATCAAATAAGCAGTAACCTTCCAATGATACACAAGTCAAAACAATATAACTTGTGTATATAAGTGTAATATCAACCTTGTGCATACACCCAACAAGTTCTCGTAATCTCGAAAGCTCCAATGAGGGCAGTATAATATAGGCAGTAGAGCTAAAAATGATCTATTAATCAACTATTATTCAATCAACTGAGTGTTTCTAGAGCTCCTGATGAGGGCAGTGTGGTAGATGCAGTAGAGCTAAAAAGGATCTATTAATCAATCAACTATTAATCAGTCAGCCTCATGAGGACAGTATAATAGAGGCAGTAGAGCTAAAAAATATTATTAATCAACTATTAATTATCAGCTGAGTGTTGCTAGAGCTTCTCATGAGGGCAGTATAATAGAGGCAGTAGAGCTAAAAGATCTATTAATCAACTATTAATCAATCAGCCATATGTTTCTAGAGCTCCTCATGAGGGCAGTATAATACAGGCTTAGAGCTTAAAGATCTATTAATCAATCAACTATTAATCTATCAGCCGTGTGTTTCTAGAGCTCCTCATGAGGGCAGTATAATACAGGCAGTAGAGCTAACAAAGATTACTCAACTATTAATCAATCAGCTTTATGAGGGCAGTATAATAGAGGCAGTAGATCTAAAAACGATCTATCAATTAATCAGCCAAGTGTTTCTAGAGCTCCTCATTGGTGCTAAAAATGAAATAAAATCAAATTAAAATAAAACTTGCATATATGAATACAGTGCGGACCTTGTTTATATGAATAGATTATAAACCTTGTGTATATAACTAAGATAAATTATATTTCACTTATATAATATAATATAAACCTCAGCTATATTGAAATAACACAAAAAAATATATTATTTGAAAATGAATATTGGACATGTGCCAGATATGAAGTGTGTATTCCTGCAACTGTGTTCTGTGAACCATGTAGACACTTAACATACAATAGTCTGTTTCAAAACATATGCTACAATGCATGGGAATAAACATGTGTTTTTTACATATTTCTTTTTGCCATCACCTGTTACATAGCATTTTCAAATTGAGCTTTACATTTTGGTATAGGTTTTGTAATAGTTGAATATTTATAGTTCTGATTACACCTTCCTCTCTTTTCATTCCATCAGATATTTTAAAGTTATTGTACTTTTTAAAATCTTAAGTTATCATTTCTTAGATAGAGCCAGACTGATGGTTCCTACTTTGTATACACATTCATTAACAGAAAACCTAATTACTTTATCAGTACGTTTTATTAAAGAAAATATGCTCAAAGTCATCTGTATTGTTAGTGTGCTGTCAACTATATCAACTGTTACTGATTGATTACAGGAAGAATTTCAAACAAATTCAGTTAAGCTGCTGTTATAAAACTGATGAAAAAGTGTCACTCCAAATAAATTATTATTATTATAAGAAATATAAAGTGTGATTTGTAAGCATAAGTTTTTTTTTTATTAGATTTTGGTTTTCTGATCACTTTTATATTTGTACCTAAGATTAAATTATAGTAATATTTTTTTTTGTAGGAGAATCGAAGTATGAAACAACACCTTGACGAAGTGTTGACAAATTCTGAGAACATTGGTGCTGTCAAAGACCATGCAGTCAAATCAGAGAGTAAGTATAATAATAAGGTAAAATCTAAAGCTGAACATGAAGGTCACATGCCAGAGAGTGCCTCACTCTTCCTTTAGTGTTTAGGCATGGGTCTTGGCTGGGCGGGTGTGGGATACTGATGCAAATTGGTTCCAATATGTGGGTAAAAATACTGAAAATTACCATTGATTTTTATTGGAATAGGAGTTTAGTTTCTTATTTTCAATTTTTGCACCCTCTCTCCCAGGTCAAACTGTGTTTTGGTGTACAGGTTTGCCACTCCTGCACAAGTCTGTTTACTTTTCCAGAAAGAATAGTGATGATGATAATTATATTTGGAAGTTTATAGGGCTGATATTCTTTATCAAAAGAATGAAAAGAAAAAAAACATAAATCATCATTGTCAGCATCACTATCACAGCCATCTATACGACCAACATCATTATCTTCATCATCACCACTATCAATATCATCACTGTATTGTCATCATTTCCTAAAATTTGAGATATTCAAATATTTTAAATTGAAAATTAAGTAATAATAATAATACTGTACATCTTATATTTCTTTAGATAAAGCAAAGATATTTGAAGAAAAATTCAACAAAATGAAAGAAGTATATGGAAAGTTGAGGGAGGAACATATTAATCTTATCAGAAAGGTACACAGTGCGTTTCAAATTTTTATAATGATCAAGTCTTGAAAGTGTGAATATATTGTACTCATTAAAATTAATTGAACTTTGCCATTGATTGTTCTTGGCTACAAAAATATTATTATAATCCTTTTCTAATAATTACAGGATTTTTTGTAGTGTATTCGCTATTCTTCAATTTCTATTATCCATTCAAACAAAATAAATGTTGATTTGATAATGACAGTAAAAACATTTTTTTTTATTTTTTGAAACCCCCATCTGGTATTTTGCATCGATCCCACAAGTGTTACAAAACACTATGCACATATTTTCTGACTAAATTAAAATTTTAAAACAGTTATGTACAAAATTAATAATCTTAATTTCTCTTGAAAACATGGCTTGGAAATTTTTTCAAACTTCACAGAACCTTTTGTAAAGCTAAAACACTATAATCTGAGAAGTTATTGAATGATAATTTTTTCTCTTCAGAACGCTGATGTAAACAAACAACTGTCAACGATTGCCAAGACAACAGAGGAAACAGAGTTTGCTAAACGAGAAACGGAGGTGTTGGTTCAGTCATTGCAGAAAACAGTCGATGAACGAATGTCAGAAGAAGAACAACTCAGAAGAAAACTTGAACGACAAAGAAAACAAATATTTGGTAATGAAAATATATGAAATTTAATTGTAGCAATGATGTACAATGATAAGAATTTTTGTGGTTGAGAAGTTAAAACATCTCTTAAGTTCTCTCATGGCTGAAGAGCCTAATCTATATTTTGAATAATCACCTTGTCTAAATGACTATTGCACACCTTCTCCATAATCAAGTTTGGTTTCCAAGAAGTAAGGACAGAAGTATTTATATGGCATCTTGGATTGGATGATTCTATTATTTTTGGGGGTGGTCTTTTTAAGGTAGAAATAGCAATAGTTGGTTTATTCATGTGAATATGCAATATACAAAGACTACCAACATTATTTAAAGTTCTTTTGTGCATGTGTTTTCATGTATCACTGACTTAACAATGTGTTTGTTTTACAGTCGCTGCTATGCAAGAGGCTGAAGAGAACCTTCGTCGCATACTGGTTCAGATGGACGATCCCCAATTTTCTGGTAGCACATGCACAGCAGGTAAGCCAGTGGCAATTCAAGGTTTAAGATTCAAGAAACTTTATCAAGATTGGCAAAATTTAAAAGAAATTTACATATGCACCACATTACATTTTCACTGCCAATAAAAGCACAGTATTAAATATAAACATCAAACACTAAAAGGAGAACAAAAAGTCAGTCTGTTGCAAACATAAACCTGCACCAAACGGCGTCATGGATCAATGATCCATTGTCGTGTTCCACAATGAAGATGAATTATTGAAAGTAAATTTTCAAGTTTTTCTACCTTATGTTTGGCAGTAATTGTTTAACAATTTTTTCATCCGTCTCTTCTAATGTTCAGATCGAATTCCTCACTAGTTCATTCTGTTTTTTGTTTTTTTTATTATTTTGTTATGATTTTCATTTTTCAGAATATTTTTTAACAAGGTCTGAGAATGCACAACAGTCTTTGTTGACACTACAGAATAGTTACAGTGATTATTGCACTGATAAAGATGGTAAGCATTAAACTATTTTAAAATCACTTTGAAAAAATTAATTTAAAAAGTACTTTTATAGATTGAAGAATATTATGTAATGTGTAGATTGTAAAAAAGGATTAAAGGTGTACTTTTTTGAGGAATTTATTGGTTTAAAATATGTCATTTTCTTCAGAGTTGGAGAGTTTAGTTCGAAGTCTGTCAATGTTTTCAAATGGAATTGGTGAATTTCTTCTTCTTGGGAAGTCAACATCTCACATGGCACCACTAGACCTAGGAGAAGGTAAGATTATATGATTAATCAAAATAAACATAATTGCATAATTACCATTTTTTCACCTCCCCCTCCAACTATTAATGTAATGTAGTTAGATTAGGAAGAAGGCATAACCTCACTTTCAAGTCAGGAAATGTACAAGTAAAACATTTACTCTAATAAATTGACACCTTTCACATGGTAATGGGTGGTAGCATGTTCCTGTTTCCAATTTTTTAACTCTTTATTTAATGTTCCTAGCTGATCTCCATTAAATATATAAAGCTCTGTCCACACTTTCAAATTTTCTTTGACAACAAAACTTTTATATGCCCATATATAGTCATGATGTGCCCATATATAGTCATGATGTACCCATATATAATCTTGATGTGCCTATATATAGTCATGATGTGATGTCATCATGACCATATTTTATTCATTTCACATGTTTTTGTCAAATACAATTTCATAGTCTAAACAAGGCTTAAGAGCCTGATAACCTATGACCTTCCTCAGTTTCATATAATCAATAAAATCAAATACATTGTTATTAATATGATCATAGTTATTTGACAATAAATAATGTTCTGACTTTGAGGCATTTTTTTTTTCCTTCAGCTTTGGCAAATGCTTGTCGGAATGGAGGGCAGAGCTGCCTTGACTTCCTTGGGGTGATGAGGGTTGAGAGTAGTGTAGATAACGCCAACCGTCATCAGTCAAAGGTCAATGAACGTCTTCAAGCCATCATTCTGGCTGCACAGGTGAGAATTTAGATTCACATGTCAATCAAAAGCAATCTTTTATATGGGCAGGTTAACTATGAGGGCTTGAGTGTCTATCTTCAAGAAATGTAAATGAATCATTCGGATAACAGTACAGAGCAGTAACATTAAAAAGAGACACTTGTTATTTTCACACACACCAGCTAGTTAGCAGGATCCACATAAATAACATACACGCTCACCCTTTCATTCATATAAGAAAATCCTCGTTCCAGATATCAAGAAGATGATGGTGGGATCACTTTTCTATAGGAAACTGGAAATTAGAAATGCGTACATGTGATTGGTTAATGATAGAAACATGCTCAACTTGCGCACTTCCGATAGTGCTCGCTAACCCCTAACGTATCTAGATCCTTGTAACGGTTAGTGCTAATGGACCGGACCGTGAGTTCTCACACAGATGCTAGCGGTTAGCTCCTGATCCGGATGCACCAACCTACCTACCTACCTACCTTGATCTACCTTGAATTAGAGACTTAAAAAGCAATGGCTTGTGTGTCCCTCAATCTAATTCCAATTATCTGAAATATGGAGCAAACTTCCAGCGTAGATCTGATTTTTCCAATCCGTTTTTGGAAATTGATTAATGGTCTTCGATTCGATAACATAAGATGGCAATGCATTATAATTTATTTTTTCATTATAATATTATATCGGTTGTAATTTAACTGTAAATCTATAAGGAAAATATTTAGTGAATAATAATAATATTTAGTCTTGATACAGTATACAAGGATACATGAACATTTTGGATCATCTATTTTACGTGAGCATGAGCAGTCTGTTTAATGAAGTGAGCCCTCAATCTATTATGTTTATAAACTACATAATTTGTTTACTTGATTTTTAAAAACATTTTCAGGATATTTTAGAGGTAATCTTTTGATGAATATTCTTTAATCAAATTTTTCTGCTTCTGTGCAAAAAAAAAAAAGTCAATTCTGGCCAATTGTTGCAGAGTTAATGTTTAAGCTGAAAATGGCAACAGTAAATAAATCTTCTTCAGACCTTTTCGTGGGTTATCCTTTGTGTTTCACGAAACAAATCCATCCATCAAATAATATGCATACAGCATGACAATGTAAAATAAGCGTTTATGTAAAAAATTGGTTGGCAGGAAGGATTAAAATTAACAGAATTGAATGACTGTAAATATGTATTGTTATTATCACCAATGTGTGAATTGTAGTTTATTAAAATTATAAGTTTAGCCAAAAATGCATGCTGAGTTTAGTATTAGCCACAAAAGTTGCATGCATAGTGAATAGCAGATAATACAGACTGTAATAAGAGATTATTGACATGTTTGCGTGGTGATGGAATTGACTAGGAAATTGCTCAAGAAAAAAAAAAATGCTTTGCCTGATATGAGGGCGCTCAGTTCAGCATCCAGCAAATCTGATCGTCTGGGATCCTTGATGGTATTGCTGGTATTAATAATGAAAGTTGCTGCCAGAAGCTTGGAGGCGTGAAGTTGTTTGTAGTAATGATAAATGTAATCCTGATAGTAGCATTTGAGATTATTTCCACTATTTCCAATAACTTTTCCAGAATCGAACCCAAGACCTTTGGCTTTTAAAGATAAGCATAACCACCAAGTCACAATCTCACTCAAAAGGCGGGTTTCCTTAAAATCGCTACATTGTTGCTACAGTGTTTTCAGTGCAATCGTTGTAATTCGTATCTGTCCTCGACGCAATCGGGAAGGCTCTCCTATTTGACCAATCAATTAGCATCACCGAAAGCTAAGTTTGTATGGAAACCAAGCTTAAAATAAATGTTTACCCTATGTGATTATAGTAAAAAAAAATTGGCTTTTATTTCAGCAGGTTTTTGAGGGTTGTTTATTCAGAGAAACTAATATGTTTCTTGGTGTAAATAAATATTTAATATACTTAAATAATACTGCTTTAATATGTAACATAAAACTATTATCCTAATAGAGCAAGTAAACTTGATACATGTTTTGAGGAGTTCGTCATTTGTTAGTCCCTTAAGTGAAAAAATCAATATACAAAATTGCTGCCTCACTATTTATTTAAAGTGGCATATTACATGTACAATGATTTACTTTACTGAAGAAGGCATATATTACTCTAGGGGAATTTAGGCAAAGCAGGCAAAATATTCAAAATGTAGTGGTAGATGGCCCAATATCTTAATGGAATGCTTGATTAATGACAAATGTACTTTAGATAGACTAATACACTTTAGTGTTTCAAGTGGCAGTTTATTAACCCAGATAACTGTTGTAAACCAAGAATTGTTTGTTAAAAGTATTTGGCTTATTTTTTTTTCATCTAGGAATTGTTGCCCAAGGAGGCAGACATCAAAGCCGAGCTTGGGGACATTGTTGATCAAGAAATGCAAAATACCACCGAGGCTATTGACAAGGCTGCTTCCAGAATTGAAGTAAGAAAAAGTCTGTTTATTAGTTAAAGATGATTAAAAGGCATGCATGGCCTGATGAATAGATAAACTCTTCATTTAATGAGCTTTGCGAAGCAGCCATTTCCAATTGAGGCTGACTACAATAATTGAACTAATGGACAATAACACATATCCTTTGCAGGTATTGAAAAGGCGGTTCTTATGATGTACCGTAGATACACTTAAATAAGTAATTCTTCTAGTTGACAGATCTAGGCCTTTGACCTTTTCATGTATTTTTTTGTGTGTGTTTGTAGACTTAGTAGGTTTGTAAACAAAAAAAACTCAAAATCTGCACATCTTCTTAACTGAAATTTATGCCGTGCAGTTAATAATAATCATAGCCTCCACAGTTTTAATTTATAATATTAATAATTTATTAAGTTGTTAATAATGATATATATTATTTATTATGGAATTTTCTTTTTTTTCCTCCTGCCCCCCATTGTTTTTTGTTTTTTTGAAAGGAAATGCTTAATAACTCAAGACAAGCTGATACAGGTGTGAAACTAGAAGTGAACAGCAGAATTTTAGATTCCTGTACAGACCTCATGAAATCCATCAAAGTTCTCATTGAGAAATCAAAATCATTACAGAGGGAAATTGTCTCAAATGATAGGGTATGTATTGAGAGCTTTTTCTGAAAATTTCGATATCATGTAACAGAAGTATGAATGCAGGGCATTTAGTGTCAAATTCTTCAGTTATTTGATATATTGGAATATAACAAAAGTATGTATGCAGGGCATTTAGTGTCAAGTTCATCTTTTCATGTATACAGTGGGAGAATATTCATGTTATATTCTTTCTGAAATCTTGGAAAAATTTTATTTAGTTTCAAAATTGTATAGATGACAAATTTTCATCTGTTGAAAAGGATTGATTTTGTTTGTTATTGATTGATTGTTATCTCAAAATACAAATGTTTGCTGGGTTAATTTTGTTATAGGGTACAGCATCAACCAAGGAGTTTTACAAGCGACATCATCGTTGGACAGAAGGCTTGATATCAGCTGCAAAGCTTGTGGGTGTTGGTGCTACGCAACTTGTGTAAGTGTAATAAACAAAAAGATTAACCAGAAACCTTAAGTAAATAAAAATTTGCAAGGTTCATAATATATTCATTTGTTTTTCTTTTCAACAGTTCTTGCAATTAATATATTCGAGTGATTGTCCAATATTAGTTTATTCAATTTCTCTAAAATTTCTCATGGTTTGACTTACAGTGATTCTGCAGATAAAGTAATGCAGTGAAAAGAAAATTTAAAAAAGTAAAAAAAAAAAAAGATAAAAATTTAAAAAAAACAATAGAAAAAACAATTTAAAAAAATTAAAATGATTTCATGTAATTTATATATGACGAGTAAAGATGAATTTGAATTTGGATTACTATATTATCCCAGTGATTGTACACTTCCAATATTAATTCATTTAATGTTTCTAAAATTTCTGATGGTTTTATTTGCAGTGATTCTGCGGATAGAGTAATGCAGTGAAAAGAAAATTCTAAAAAAGTGAAAAAAATAAGGATAAAAATAATAAAAAAAACAGTAGAAAAAAAAAATTAAATTAATTTCATGTACTTTATATGTGGCAAAGACAAGCCAAACCAAAATCGATTTTGAGTTATTAATACAGTGTTAGAGAGTAAAATAATAGCTATAAAATAGTAAAAAAAATCATTCAAATCGGACATTTCCTTATGAAGTTACAAGCGTTTAAACATACAGATGTTTAAAGAACAATATATGAGAAATCAGCCTTCAAAGTTTATGATTTCAGGCATTTCATACAGAAACGATCATTAAATCCTTAAAAAGTGTGGTTTTAACATTAAAAATGGGGAAAATAACAGCATAGAATGATGTATAGATATGTAAAGGTTAGTTTAGTGCAATAAAATAGATTTTTAAAAATTTGACATTCCAGCATGTTTTGGCCATTTTCTCTGAAACACGATTTGCGACGAGTGACTGGTGTGGTCGTTGCCACATATATGACGAATAAAGATGAATTTTAATCTGAATTACTATATTATCCCAGTGATTGTACACTTTCAATATTAATTCATTTAATGTTTCTAAAATTTCTTATGGTTTTATTTGCAGTGATTCTGCGGATAAAGTAATGCAGCGAAAAGGGAAATTCGAAGAACTTGTTGTGTGTTCCCATGAAATAGCTGCTTCCACTGCCCAGCTTGTGGCTGCCAGCAGAGTGAAGGCGCACAAGGAGAGCGAGAATCTGAAGGGACTATCGACAGCGTCAAAGGGCGTTGCACAAGCAACCGCTAGCGTTGTTGCATCGTCAAAATCAGGTGCTCAGTTAACAGAAGAAGGAGGTATGTTGGAAAAGTTCAAAAGAGTAAAAAAAAGTGTTATTTTTATATTTTGTTGTTGTATTTTACATCTATAATCAATTTCATGGTCATTAAATTTTCCCCTTTTTTCCCTAAGATTAGATAGGGATTTATATATTTGCCAGTTTCTACAACATATTTCTGCTTAATTCTACACTCATTCATTATTGGTTTTATCATCATTGTTGTCGTTATTTCATTATTATTTATTGAAATTGCATTCTTTACAGTGAATCAGTATTCATTGATATTGCTAATATTTTTGTTATTGTTGTCTTTAATTAACAAAATCATTGTTCTCCAACCTAAACTTTGATCATTTAATTTCAGATGTGACAGACTTCACAAAAATGAGTCTCACTCAAACAAAGAGGAATGAGATGAACTCGCAAGTACGAGTTCTAGAATTAGAGAACCTTCTCGAAAAAGAACGAGTCAAGCTGGCTGAGCTAAGGAAGAGGCACTATCAATTAGCTGGCGTCAGTGAAGGATGGGAGGAGGATGAGGTAAGGAAGTGATCAGGCCTAGAAAACATTCAGGATTAACTATAAATTTATATCAACTTTGAATGATTTAATTTTTAATTAAAATACAATCCTGTATCACTAATCATTAAAATGTTTATTATGTACTTCTTATTTGTAATGAAAAATTAAATTGCTCTAGGTCTCTGTAATTAGGTTGCTAATTATGATTTTATGCATTGAAATAGAAATATGCTTGGCATACATTGTCAGATTTTTGTTTGAAACCTCAACAATATTTGATCAGACTCAGAAGGAGAGTAGATGACACTTTTTTTACACCATGTTTCTCGAACCCGTCACCACCCATAATGAGTTCATTGAAAACTATTTTTGGCTTGATGGCAGACCTGCCACTGTAAAAAATTTCATAACTTTTTTTTTTCTTCAATGTTTATTTTGCCCGACACTACCATGATATTTAATGATAAAAATATTAATTGTTCTCTATTTAAATACATATAAAGCATTTGTCTGTTCAGTTATGGAACTGTTATATCACCATGCCTCAATATTTATAAAACAAGAATATATTTTTGCTAAACTATGTCACTAAATGAGACATTAGAAAATTGTCCAATTCAAGTGTGTAAAAACATACAATTTCATTGATAAGATATGTTTAAAACATTATCAGAGTCTGACAAAACTGTTTGTTGAGTATAACATAAAAAAATCTGATAATGTATAACCTGCTTTAGAGATAGACAACCTCATCAAACTAAGAGATCGTGCATTTTTCTCCCTTAAAGCAAAACATGCAAGAACAAACTATGGCTATAAGGCTATGTAATGTGTGCTTCATGTGGTGCATACTAAAGCATTTAAAGTAACTAAAGTGCAGTCCAGACTACCAAATTTTATGACAAAAACTGTTGTATGCCTATATATAGTCATGATGTGCCCATATATGGTCATGATGTGATGTCATCATGACCATATTTAGGCATGTCACATGTTTTTGTCAAATAAAATTTCATAGTTTGGACAGAACTTTTGACAAATTATTGTTTTCATGGGTATTTTGAGGCTTTAGTATGTTCTTGAATCTGTGCAGATTCTGTCCAATATTTAATAATTTATCACGTCAAACTAATAATCTACAGATTTTAATTACCTTGAAATTTATTAGTCATGGTATTAATATTTTATGATTTGAAACAATGATGTTTAACAGCCAATTCAGGGATCATCTTATTTAAAGATGATATATTGTTTTAGGGATCATATTGCTCTTTAATTTTGGATTATAATTATTTTGGATTTAATTAATTTTGGATTATATTAATTTTGGATTATGTTAATTTTGGATCATATTATTGTTGAAATTTACAAGGTTTTTGATTATTCATTTTGATTATTTATTCAATTGTTAGATACCAATTAGCAACATCTAATTTTTCAAATAACAATCTACAATCTTTGTAATAATGGCTCAATTATGATTATGTATACCTGAGACAATTATATAAATTATAAATACAATTATATAATTGTCTCGGGTTATACTGCATAAATTTACAATTGTTAATAACAGTAACTTCGCTGTTAGGATAATTTATTTTTATTTATTTTTTTGTCAATATAAGTATTGTTATACTTATTGTTATACCCTTTGCGGTTAACTCAAGTACTTTGAGATTTTTAGAAACAGAGTTAGTGCTGTACAGAATTTATTACCTTGACCCTTTGCAACTTTTGGTAATGCAGACTTTTAAAACTTTAATTTTAAAAAATTACAATTTATGGTTGTATATAAACATATTGTGCACATGTGAATAAAAAATGATTAATTTCATATCTGAACTTTTTGGGAGAAAAAAATGGAAGGAGGGAGGACCTTTTTTGAGAGAGCAGTAAAGAGTAAGGTGGGATGGTGTCTAGAAACCAGTTTGTTACCCAATTTACATCTTATAATGATATGCACACATGATCTGATTCTACGGTTGTATTTGCATATAAGGCTCGTAGCGGAGTTATCTCCTTTGTGTGTGGCAAATTTAACACAACCCCACCTCTTCCCTTCCATAATCCGCTGTGAAATTTCTGCCCTTTTTGCATAATCCATAAGCTTAACTGTTTTCAGGATTATCTTATTTGCTAATAGTAACAAACTGTGTTTTCTTCCATTGCTTGCTCCCGCCTATTTCACAACAACATAGATCAAAAGCTAGATTGCCTACAAGGTTGGTGTTTACATGGTTCATAAATTACCATAATTAAATATAGTGCTGTATATTAGAGGTAGTTATAATTCACCTCCTGCTTGTCAGTGTAAATGTAGTGCAGTTGCCACTGTGATAACGTAATTTTTTTTTTTGTGCATATTACAAGCTCATTTTCATATAGTAATGTTGAAAATCTTGAAAAGTAGTGTGTGTTTGTGTGTGCTTTGAGAAAACAATGTAAAAGTCTATATTTCTGTTGCTTGCTTTCCTCTCATTGGTTTGATTTAGGTAATAGTCTACAACTTAACAGACTATAAGTACATTTTGCATAACATAATGTTTTCTGCGCATTCTCCATGCTTTTGTAAAATAGCGGTGATGTGTAGAAAATCAATAAAAGCAGTGTGCTTTCAAAATCCTTCGTAATAAATACTTGCTTATTGTTTTTACATTTTTTGGATTGAAGTAATTTTTCTTCTGGTTTTATAGTATTGCACTTTTATTACTTATTTTCATTCCCTTTTTTGCTTTTCATAACAATTTCTTTGTTGCAAAGCTTTATCTAGTAGTAACAGTATTCCATTGGGTAGACAAATTACCACAATAAAAGAAAAATTTAGGCAATAAAAGAGATTATCAGTTATCAGTGAAAGATTATTTTTGTTTGCACCCTACTGTGTTTTGTTCCTTGATTAATTTTATTTTGTTGATCACATATTGTTTGTTGTATATTTACACTAATCTGCATGCACCTTTTTGTGGTCATACTTACTAATTTTATGTTTTTGTTACACAAATATATATATATATATATCAAAATTTTAATGTTAGTAATGAATTATTGTATTTAATTTATTCATCAACTGATCTTACTATAACAAATTTAATTTAAATATATATGTATTATCACTAAGATACATTAAAATATTAAAATTGATATATTCTAATATTAATTAATGTTATGTATTGATACTACTATGTAGTATATATATATATATATATATAAATATTATATTATATTTTATATTATATATTATGGCAAATAGATATTACTGTAAATGATACTTTATAATATGTTTAGAGATATAAATGTGAAAAACAGAAACTAAGTTTAAGATTATTTGAAATAAAATTTATGGACTTATAATACTTGGTATTAAATTATATGGATGGGTATTTTTCTCTCTAGGATGGAAAAAATTTCCAAACGATGCTACAACAAGCGAAAGAAGAATTTCTCTGAGATACCACAGTAGGCAAGCATCAAGGAGTCTGGACTTTTTCAGAAAATATACCACTTTCAATTAGATCTTTGTTTAATTATTCTATAAATATTTTTTTTCATAATGTACAAGATCTTAATTGAACATTTTTTGTAACTTTTATAAATAAAGTTTAAAACCGTGTAAATTTCTTGATTGAGAAAGGTCAGGGGTTAAGCAACCAACCAATCACAATCATGTATCTTAAAATTAAATAATGACCTATTTACCCAATTCAAAAAAAAATGATAAAAACATATTAATAATAAAAAGTACATATTTGTATAGATTTTTTTATGCACAAGAAAAAACACATTGACATAAAAAGTTTGCAGTTTGACATTCAGAACAATTGTAAATAAATATGATTATTAATCCCATAATGCAACATGGTATCCCATCATGCAAATGTGCTACTAGGCAAAGACTGGAAAAGTGTAATGAATATATTTTGGACAATAATCTTTCATGTACAAAGGTCAGAGGTCAATAAAAGTAAAATATATATTGGCCATTATCTGAAACTCTGTGTTATGTACATTAACTATTGTATGTAATTATTATTTAACTACATTTTATTACCATTTGCAAATAATGTATTAGCCCCCATCAGGATTATGAACCCCTTATTTTTTTTTTAGCCTCATCGGGTGTATGTACCCCCATATTGTAGACAATGTGATTATATTCAGTTGCTTGTTTGATCCATCGATTAAGCTATAATGCCATGGTGGTATACTTAGATATTCTCCATTATTTTGACCTAATTTCAAATGAATTTTAAAGTAATAAAAAATTATTTACAAACCAAACCTTTAATGATTATCAAATAAGAATTATGAAAGTTGATATTAATTTGATTTTATTAATCATAATATGATTGACATTTAATTGATATATTTTGATTAATATTTGAAATTGTTTTCAGTTCCTTGGTATTTTCTCAAATAACTTTACCATAGCCTCATATTAAAAAAAAAATCCTTAATAAAATAGTAGATTATATTAAATTATATAGTCAAAAATTAATTAAAAAAATTTAATTAACATTGTGGTGATTAAATCAATCAACCAATCTATCAACCAATCAATCAACCAATCAATCAACCAACCAATCAATCAATCAATCAACCAATCAACCAATCAATCAATTTATAAGACATACAATATTTAAGTGTCGCTAGACCAAAAGAAATATTATGCCATGGTGTGCTACAAATTGTCTCACTGATGTAATATAGATACCCTGAATGTATTTCATTTGGCATCTTGTCTAATCATGGATAAAAATAATAATTATATGTAATAAGCATTGTACAATCTTCTGAAAAGTTTTAAAATAATATAAATCTCTTTTGATAAATTACTTAAACATTCTATATATCTTTTTGATTTAATTGTAAAGATGATAATTTCATCTGTATTAATATTATATATTGAGAGTTATATTTTCATTTTAGTAAAATAAAAAACACGTCAGGTAGAGATGGTGTTATATTTTGTTTATTTTTTTGTACCCTTAGTTATACAGTATACCTTAAATTATTTATTTACCATTGTGTACAGTAAATAAAATAAACTAAAAGTTCAGGAAAATCGGAGAAAACTATGGATGCAAATCGCAAAAGTTGGATAAGTTTGCTGTTTCTGGAAGGATGTGGAATCCCTGAACCAATAGAAATCAGTACAAATATAATGTCCTACTTAAAAAAACTAAAGATTACCTGAAATTGTGTAGATTGGTGCAAAAAACATTTTTTTATGTAATATGTTACATTGAAAAATTTCCCAGTGCCCAATATGTGATCCTTTATAAACATGATTTCATGAGGCTTACAGAAAAAAGATTTTATGTTAAAGATTAGAAAAAAAAATAACAAAATACATCAGAAATACTACATAAATTATAAATGATTACAACATTGTAAATATTCTTAGGCTGAAAGTGATTAAATGAATTAATTCTTGTTTTTTATATATATATTTTTCATGTATTATATCTTGGTTTCTATATTGCAAAAATTGATTGCAGTAATTCATTCTCTGAAAAACCAGCCCTTATAAAATGTCTGGTAGGGTCATAATATGCTATAAATATGTGTTATATGTTACTTTATGGTTTTTATTCTTAAAAAAAAAAAAAAAAAAAAACAAAAAAAACAACACATTTTCAGTGTATCTTTCACTCTGTTGTTATACATATTGAATAATACAATAACCAACTCTATTTTAGATTAAGTTAATATTTCATAACCATAATGGGTGTTCTAGAGGAGGCTGTGTGTTCGATTCTCACCCCAATCAATTAATCACCCTAATTTATTTCTATTACAAGTAGTTGCAGTACTAATGTTAGACAGGAAGTACATACTGTATTACCATTTTTTTCTAACTATATGAATTTGTGATTTAAAATATAAAGCACCAATCTTTGAGATGATATTTTCGTTATTTTAAAATGAGTTTTGTCCTGCTCTCTTGAGTAGAGTTTACACAAAACAATTAGTAGTAATTTGTTTTTATTATTTATTTTATGACGACTATGATATTAATGATGTTATGTTTGCACTTTATAAAAATGGCATGTTATTTACAGATATAAACTTTTAGACGAAGAAGGTAAAAATGTATTTATTCTTCCACATTGAGCATAAATATGATAATCATATTAAGAATGTGTTGATGCCATAGATTTTGTAAGGATACTCATTTACTAACTCCAATGTATTTGGTCCTCAAAAATTAGAAAAAATTAGAGAGTGTCTTAAGCTGCAAAATCTACAATGATATTTTAGGAAAAATAACAAGTGCATCCAACACTATTACCATGATGTCATGTAGCGCAGTTCTAGCCAGTCAACTGTTCCCGAGTGATAGTTCTATTGCAAGAATGTGCAGCCGTTTCAAGGGGAAAGTACACAAGTGATCCTATATGTTTTGCCTATTAGTAGTACATCACTGTAGTATTCTTATTTAAATCTATGGTTTATTCATCGGACAACGCTCTCTATTCTCTCTATTCTTCAGTTGATTCTTGTGGATAAAAAATGTAATTTCACAAACCAAATAGGATTAAAAAATCCACTTGTCTTTATAATTATACTATATGTTCTTGTATGCTATATTTATGTATTAATCATATCACTTAATTCATAACATATTAGCAGGTAGGAAGCCAGGCTTATTGGTACACATAGATTTAAGAATATTTAAAAGGGGTTAGGATAATTATGTAATCAAATAAATTATATTCACTTTCTACAATTTGAAGTGACATACCAGTTGGATGTGAATACAAGGCCACTATTTGCTCATAGGCTTTGTCTACACTAATAACATTTTCTTTTGACAAAAAAACGGTTGTATGCCCATATATAGTCATGATGTGCCTATATACGGTCATAATGTTATGTCATCATGACCATATTTAGGTATGTCACATGATTTTGTCAAATAAAATTTAATAGTGTGGACACGGTTTTAAGTTCTGTCCACACTAACAAATTTTATGTGACAAATACCTGTAAACGTCACATGTGTTCGTGTGACATGGCGTTATCATGCTCGTATATGGGAAAGTCATAATAAATATTTGTACTAGAAAGTATTATAGTGTGAACATTATCTTATGGTGGGAATTTTATCAGTAATACAGTATGTAATAATATTCATATTAAAAATGTAAAGATTGTAAATTTACACTCTGTCTATTTGCTTCTTTACCTCAGTTGTTTTCATCATAATTTTCGATTGATAAAAATGTCTCATCAAATTAATGCTTTTTTGTTATCATTTTTTCATCTAACAATCTTAAAAGGTTATTTTTAACATTACAGTACATTACCATCACTATATTGACTGCACATTTTGTTGATTGGTTTCCGATAAAAGCAAGATCTTAATGACAACTTGACGTCCAATTTCGTTTGATCGGCCTACTTTGTTGTTATATGACATGTTTCTAGTGGGAGTCATTTGAAGATACCTTTTCCCTCTAATTAAAGACTACTTTTTTTGGACCGGGGTTTCCATGTTCTTTAGCATGTAGCTTTGGTGTGTAATTTGGGACCACAGAAAAGTAGTCTTTAATTAGAGGTGGTCTTTAATTGGATTTTGTTGTTAATGTCCCTTAATAGGGAGGTTTTGCAAGCTTACGAAAACGAAAACCAATTCGGCTGCGCAATCGAGTGTTTGGTTAATTCAGCCCTACAGTAGCATGTTTAGCACAAACGTAGGCCACCCGCCTTTTACACGAATCAACGATTATATTCAGCTCGTATATGTATTATCAAGAATGTTTTAGCCACTGACGATAATGAAGATGACGTGTTCGTTATCGTTTTCGTAAGGTTGCGAAAACTCCCTAATACGATGCTAAATAACACACACATGTTGTCCCACAAACTCATATATTATTTATATAGGCCTATACAAGATCTTTTTTTTTTTTTTTTTTTAAAGTTCTTTCGGAATTTATGATATTTCTATTAATTCCTCACAGGGACGTCCTGCCACCAGACTTTCGTCGGATTCTTTAATGTTATCTGTCTGTCGATGCAAAACAAAATCCATAAATCGTTTTATTTTCATCGAATAGTGCCTATCTGGAATAATCTTAGATAAGAAAGTATAATACATACGCCAAGTATTGAAATACACGCCATCGTGTTGGGATTCAATATTTCGACATTAATTATGTCATCATCAGGAATGATTATGTCATCATCAGGAATGATGTATATATTGGACATATATATATTCTCATGCAAATTCTATTTATTTTTGTTGATTCATTTACCTCACTCCGGTGGTAAGACGGCACTGTAGAGGTGCTTGTTCACCTGTTCTGTTTTTACCTGTCGAAGTTGAATAAAATAAAAAATATTCCTGATGACATAATTAATGTCGAAATATTGAATCCCAACACGATGGCGTGTATTTCAATACTTGGATTATACTTTCTTATCTGAGATTAATCAGTGGACCTTTCGGTTTTTGGAATAAACTTCCTTTAGCAATTCGATCAGATTCTCATTTTCCATCTTTCAAAAACAAAGTGATGGAATTTTACAACTCTAAATTGAAATATAATTTTTTTTTTCCTGATAATATCTGCACTTTGGTTTCTTTTTGTCACTGTTCTGGTTGTTGTTAGACTATGAATTTTTTTGTCTATTGTAAATTGGACATATATTTATTCTCATGCAAATTCTATTTATTTTTGTTGTTTCATATATCTCACTCCGGTGGTAAGACGGCTCTGTAGAGGTGCTTGTTCACCTGTTCTGTTTTTACCTGTCGAAGTTCAATAAAATAAAAAATAAAAAACCTTTTGTGATTGGTCAGTTGTAGGCTTGATTTTCCCTCGTAATTCCAAGACCCTCTAATTCGAGATCACTTTTCCAAAGACCCAAATGACATCTTCAACCTTTTAACACAAAGCTAGCCCTCTAATTGGAGACCAACCCCGATACCACCCCAAATCTCCAGGTCCCAAGGGTGGTCTCGAGTTGGAAGGCGAATTGTATCTATATTCTTTTGAATAGTCCTTTAAATTGGCTAGATAATAATAGATCAACTTACCCGTATTGAATATTGATATGATGTTTACTAAACCCACTGTTGAGAATCATGTCGTTGATATTGTTATTTTTTTTTTATAAAACAAATGATATGAAGTGTTATGGATTAGATTCTCTAAATTAACAATTACTTTTTAAATTTTATTTTGAGGCTCTTGATTTGAGCACAAATTTGGTATATGTAATTAAGGCTTAAACGTTTACAATTACCTGCAAGGCAATAGAGCTTTAATTGCCTTGAGTAATTGTTTAATTTATTAATAAATAATCGGTTATCGCATGCCCCTTTACTCTGGCGATGGAGCTTTGACCTCTTGGTTTATGGTAAGGTAATCAAAATTTCCGTATTAGTTACTGAATAATAGCAGTTAACTACAGCATTATTACCGTAGGATTATTTTCAACTACAGCCAACAGTACAGTTGCTAACACTTACTGGTAGACTGTGTTAACTTGTGTTTGAGTGCTGGATTATGAAAGCTCCCCTACCCTGATCTCTTAACGATGATAATAATTATATTTATGAGAAAGCATTGTCCCCATTGGGGATTTGAGACCAAGACCTTTCAGTTTGCCGTTCAACGGATACTATTAAGTTTCCATCGTTACCGGTTTAATTTGTAGCAATGCAGATGATGTGTGTTTAGGTATTTAGTTTGTTTTTGGCTCCTCATCAAAGTAACGAAAAAGAATGTGTTTTACTGATTTTGATATGAATTTACAATAGCTTTCAAAATTGCATTTCCTGATTTTCCATGTGAGATTTTTTATTTCATATGATGCTCGATATTTAGTTTTGCATTTAAGAAAATCTAGCTATTGATTTATGGTAATGCGCTATACTATTAGTGCTTAATAATATAACGCCATTTACTCGTAAAAATTAATTCTATTGCATAGACACTGAACATCTTCCAATAAGCTACATTCACCGTCAAATCCACCAAGCCCATTTCCACTTTTCTAACTGAAACATCGCGCACCTCTACCTTGATCAATCCCCCTGCCCTGACCCCATCTATGTTGCCTTAAGCACGAGCCCTGACCCCACCTTCTGTCTCTTTTTACCCAACTACAAGATACAACTCTCCATTACTATAATGCTTCACATCTCCTTATGACTCGTGGTTCAGCAGCGTACTGTTGAAATTTGACTTGGGGCCGATTTTACTTGGGGTCAAGTTGACATGGGCCCCGAGTTGACTTGAGGCCGAGTTGACATGTTTCCTTCCTATGATATTGCACCGTTCGATTGTATTTCGGTTGTCTGCTCGTCTGTTGGAGTTAGTACATCTACTTGATACATTAGCTTTTTACTCTGCACAATGTTGGTGTTTTCAAATTTAAGCACGTCTAAGGGAGAGGGAAGAAAGATTATACATTTATTCTACCCATATAATGTTTTGATCAGACTTTAAAACAAAAAGCTTTTAGAATGCATTTTCCCTAAACGCCACTTGAATAAGAGCCAGGGCATATATTTTAACTGAATAATAATCGTCCACGTGTCACCAGCATTTGAACATGTCCAGATTTCAACAAGTGGTCATTCTCAAACTCGGTGCAATCCGTCTTTTATCGTTATCATAATCATCATCATTGTCATCATCACCCCCATCATTAACTCGCTTTGTATGGAGTGATGTTTTGCCCTACCTGACACCTGCGGAAAAAATCGTAAGTGATTCGGGTGGGAATCGAACCCACGACCTCCAGATAACTAGCCTGGTGCCATAACCACTATACCACCGAGCTTGCACACATTTAAATAAACTCTCTTTGTTTTCATGGACTTACATGTGCCAACTTCTATGCACGTGATGGCGCCTGATTCCGGTACTTCTTGTGAGTTATACTTCGCTTTCGTCTGTATCACTTTTAATTCTTTTTCTTTTTCCTTCCCTGCCTTATTTTTCTTGTAGATCCCAAATAGGATGGGTTCATCCGAATGGAATTCCCATCTGTGTAATAGTGGAAAATTTTAGACAAAAATTGTTAATTATATATAAAAAAATAAAAGTAAATATTTAATTCGTTTATGGAGGGTTATCTATTTAACAGAATTCAAAAGTAATATTTGTTCAAATGGAAATGACTTTAAGTGATGTGGCTATGATGAAACAGGGCATTGCTCATGATGGTGAATAATAATGGACCTATTGATCTATGATGTCAAATATATTCAACAAAATTATTCGTTTTATAAAATTCCCAGCAAGTTTAACTTTCTGTGCAAAAGAATATGAAATTATTCTACCTCCGTTAATTGATGAGAACAATTTATTTTCTTGTTATAATTTTCATTTTAAAGCTAATACGATATAAGGAATGAACCTATATATAATAATTTTCGTTTTTACCAATTATGGTTTGAATGCTGATGAGAAAACTGAAAATGGTAGTGGTTATGGTACTTCGCTTTCGTCTGTATCACTTTTATTTCTTTATCTTTTTCCTTCCCTGCCTTATTTTTCTTTTAGTTCCCAAATAGGATGGGTTCATCCGAATGTCTCCTTTTCTACTTCTTTGGATTTTGTTATTTAATTCTTTTTGAAATTGTATTTACATAATATTTTTGAGAAGGACCTACGATATAGGCCTATGCCATTTTGTAAATTTTTGTTAATTTGAGAAGTAGATATTTTTTGTGATTTGTTTTTTTAACATTGAGAAAGAGGAAAATAAATGTATTGATGATTTGATTTGTGATTATATTGTTGAATGTTGCTGAAGAGGCAATGGCAATAATATTGATTTAAATGAAGCCCTTATATTGATAGGATAATAACTACCAACTCACTTATAATACAAAACAAAACAGCAAAACATTATATTTTAATTATTTTTATTATATTTACTGTATATTAGTTTTCATGAATTTCACTGAATAATACCTTATAATTGAGTTCTCTTGTGTTACGTCTAGTTTTATGTGATGCGATGATTTCGAACCAACAGATACTTCATCAAAATTATTGTTATCTCTGATTTCTTGATTAAGATAATACGATGAAGGCACTTTCCCGCCCCAACATATCTAGAATAAAAGTGTGTTTATGTTTTGTGATATTTTTCTTTAAAGTGTTTTCCATTAACGTTCACCCTTGATCATACTGATAGTGAATAATATAACTGATATTGTTCTTAGAGAATAAATACATTCAGATTTCCGTAACGCAGATATATCAAAAACTAATTTGAAATATTGATATCATTCTTGATTTACCTCTTCTTTGCAATCTGGACAACCATCCGAGTCGGTCCTGGTACCCCCATATACTTTTGGTAACTGATCGGGGTCAATATATTCCAATAGTTTGTATAATTGATTACCTATTGAGGATATCTGATTGCATTAATAATACGAAAAATTGTATAGAACAGTACGTCATGCTTCATACAGCAGTCAATTTAAATCTAAGCTAAAAACTCATCAT